AGAGAGAGAGAGAGAGAGAGAGAGAGAGAGAGAGAGAGAGAGAGAGAGAGACTTTATTCTCTGTTCAGGTAGACATTACTCCGCCATATTAATGCTCTGAATACCGAAGATTTCCCCTTGAATTAAGGTGAGATACACACACACATATATATATATTTCACAGACCTGTATCACAGTGTTATAATAGTTTTGTTATTCATAAGAAATTGTTAAAAACCTACCCAAAATAAGCAGACAATGGTTTAGAGGACAGACACCCAGCCCGAGTCATAACAGGAACACAATGTTTGCCGTCTATCACCCGGTTTACAAATCAGACCCATCGCTTGCTTATCTGACGTCAAAGCTCAGTCGTGTATCACTACGCCACATTATCTAACATACAACACACTGGTACATTGACAGACCGCTACACCTAAAGTGAGATCGAACCCCTCCTAGTACAGATCATCCTAACTGACCTTCAGTCTGTCCACCATTGAGCATCCCTCACATCACATTTTTGATCTATCAGACTTGAGTGTGGTTCTCATGATTGAACATTTTACACCAAACCTACAGTTACCAGCAGCAACCTAATACTCACAAAAGGTCAAAGCACTTTTAATCTGTGGTCAGAATGGAAATGAATGAACATGCTCTTCTCTGGCTTTATCCGTGGACTCAAATGGTCAGTGATTACACAAGACAATAATGACCACGGAAAAATAAAAGAGCTGGAAAAGGGCTGTAATATATTTGACCTTCTCCACTGCCGCAGGTTTTCTACAGCAATTAAAATCGTTGGTTTTGAAGCTGTTGTAAATATGAAAAAATATATTTCCCACATTGTTGCATGAAAGGAAATTTGTAAATACATACAATTAATATAACATAATTACTCAAAAACCTGAAATTCAAGACAGGGCTGAATATTTCACTCTGCTCTTCTTCTAGCTGAATAAACACACGGCTAGCTCGCCGTACATAAACCTGCAGGTGACTTTCAATTGGTTGCGTCTTTTCGCTGAAGCCTGTTATGTCTGTGATGAATTCCTAAACGCTGTATTAATAAACAGACAGATAAATAAGGAGTGGGCACAGCTCATCAGGCTGCCCTCTCATCAATCCCCACCCTCCTTCGCGTGGGCATCGCCAAAAGGTGAGAGACACATCCGTCAAGCCGCTCATCACGGTGGAGCAGATTTGATTTGTCAGGCAGTGTAACCTTGAGGCGTGTTACAGTGGCTCACATGTATCGTCGGTCCCTCACACGATGCGATAACTAATGGGTTTGCATACAAATTTAACACACAGGCACAGCATCGTTCACTCAAGTGATCCTTCAGTGCAGCTCAGACCAACTCACTGTGAAATAATCACCTGGGGGCATGTTGCGGAATATGTTACAGATTTGCGTTCATGTCCAAATACAGAAGAATCTCGAAAGTGTGCATTCCGGTTATCAGCACGTTTTCGTGGCAGAAAATGAAATTCAAGCATGAAAAATAAAAAGAACAGAATAAAGAATTATGTCAGATTTGTTGCATTCGACACCATTTTATTGAGCAACAACTTGTGTCTGCAAGATAAAATACTCTTATGCACATTAATTTACAATAAATTCCATGTATTCTCTGCTTACTGTACAGGATGATTCATTCATTTTTAAGAGCAGTGCAATAGTTAACATCCCTGGAAAACAGTGGGATGCTGCATTCATGGTAACTTGAAGCTTTTCTCTCTCACTGACTCTGTCCCGACCGTGGCTTTACCCTGCCCACCTTCACCTCTGGTGCAGCAACTACGTAGACAGCATCTCTGTGTGACTTCATCATGGGTTCAAAGGTCCTCTGACTCAGGGATGAGCACGGGCTCAAGGGAAACAGCAGAGAGGGGGATTGGACCGCCGGTCGACACCCACCCCAGAGCAGATCTGTTGAAGGAGGGTCGATCTACCTCCGCATCCCCCTGGAGCTCAGGGTAGTTAGGGAGTGGTTCCACCTGGAGGGACTTGATGGTAGGATGTCTAGGTGCTTTGCCGAAACCACCGAACGGGGTCGCCACCCTGGAGGTGACGGAGTGACAGTGTTTAAACAGTAGTCGTCATGTGCTAATGAGAGGGACTGCGGTGACATTTGAAGTGATGCAACTAATTAAAGCCAAGCAAAGACTTTGACCGGAGGACATGTTCTAAGAGACGGCTGCTTTGAGTGAGAAGCACACTTTTGTACATGGAGTTAGATGAAGGACGGTACTCGTTTTGCCCACTCAGCATTTGTGTGCATGATAAATAAAAGCAAAGCTAAGTCAGTTTTGAATAAATAAATATCACAATTTCATGAATTAAGTAGTGGTTGCTGTTTACAGAAAGTCACAAAGGCTAAATAACAGTTCAGTTTACATGTGTATGCTTCTTTAAATGTGACATTTTGTTGATCATTTTATTTTATTAATGACTTGCTGTCCACATGTTATATTGTACCTGTTGAAACTTTTGTATCCCGGTATGTCTGGTCTAGGCTCCGGCTCCAGCATATGTGCGATGAGCATGTCAGCCAAGGCCGGGTCACTGTTGATGGCCTGCTCCCAGGGCGAGTGGTAGGACTTTGGTACAGCTGTACTGTTGAACTTCTCCAGAGGGATGTCTTTCAAAGGACCTCCGTACCCTGGGTGGGTTTACAACATAGAGAGTGATTGATAATAAAGCTTTCCTAAAGCCAAATAAAGAGCAGGCATTAGTATTTCCATTTCCATTTAATTGTTTTCAATTTACTCAATTCTGGAGTCGAGTTTGGGCCTTTCCCCACATGTGGTTAGTAATGAAGTGGAACTTAATAGCCAAAGTCAATAATATTTCTGAGCAACAAAGAAACAGGCTGTCCAAAAAGGGATGATCCTTCCCTTTGATTTCCTATTGTATGAAATGATTACAGACTGGTCAGCTGGTCATGGGTAAATTTGAGTAGGAGTGCATGCAGTCTGCTGATGTCTCATCATATGATTTATTGGTAATGAAGTTAAAACAACCCAAAGTTCAGACTAGGAAGCAGAGTTGCAGTATTTCACACTTCTCTGAGTTTCCATTAGAGCAGTTAGCCACCCAAAACCATATAGAGACTGTGTCTGCCCCACGGCCACTTAAATTAATTAAATCAAAAGTATATACACACACACATATATAGTGTTCAATACATGAGCGTGCAACATTGCAATACTTTCCACTGGTTTTGCTCTCGCCGTTAATTCCTTGCTAAAGCAAAACAAATCAAGGGGCAGCCTCCCTATAGTTCTGTGTGTTGATGGGAGAGGCCTATCCAAAGCACTATCCTTCAAACCTAGCGCTTCACTCAGGGGGGGCTTGCAAGCTCAGGCATTACATAACACAGGGCGTCATGTCACGTCCAAACCTCTCGCAATGAACAATCCCCCTTCCTGACTTTATGTCTTGCCCTGAGGAGGAAGCAAGAGAGACCAAACAGACCCGCGGGGAGGTTTACAGATTTGGGCGAAATCTATTACAAAACATTGTGGAAAAGACTTTCTGAGGCCATGGAATATTGTTCTTGTTGTTGGCTGAGTTATATGTGAATATTTTTGAGGGAGAGGACTGTCACACACCCAGCTCTATGCACTCTATGTGGAGATGAAAGTGGGATCCAGAAAAGCCCAGAAAAGCAAGAAAAAAAGTGTTTTTGCTAGTTTTCTAAAACAAAAAAATGGTCCTATATCGAAAGGCACATGTATCTATGCTTCGTTTTGCTAAGTGGCACAAAACAATAAAAATGCACATACAGTAGGTGACCCTTTATCAACATCTATGGCACTATGCCTCCTATTGGAAATTGTCATTTAGTTTCTACTTTCTTCTATCTTCAGCATATTATCTGTCTTCACCGTATAACACTGTAGCCTGGTTAAGACATGTTACTGGACAGGAGTATGGAACATGCACCCCTGGGTAAATGAGTGCTATTTTAAGAGTTCTCACTATTTGATACCTAATGCACTCTGGCCTGATTTCTGCGAAGGCCGGAGTGACTTCATTGAGACACTGAAGGTTGGTGTCTGGTCCTGAGCACCAGAAATAACACCCCACCCCTGTGCAGACGCACTCGTAACTAAATCAGTAGCGGTTTTGTGTCCACTGGGCAGAATTAAGACACGAGGGAGGAAGTGAGTGCAAACCTGATGGTATCTGTGGCACAAGAGTCAGACAGGAAACACTTCCCGTGGGTAAAAACTCAACTATTTTGAAAAAAAGATGTTCAAAGCTGATTGTAATGAGGACGGATAAAGAGTTGGAGAGTGAGAGAATTTTGGGACTGTGGAGGAGTAGATATGAAACAGGAGTGAGATGAAGATAGAAACACAGGAGACAGGCAGAGAGAGGGGGAATAAAAATGTGTAATCATATTTTGCTGGCGGCCAGCAGATTCCAGGCAAAGCCTGTGTGAGTACAAACAATGAAAAACATCCTTATCAAAACATGGAACATTCAGTGCATTGTGGAGAGCAGATTCACACCCTCTATCCACCGGGAGCATTACAATCTCATGAGCTGTACATCCAGTATGTTAAAGGAACAACGAAAGAGGAAGTTAAGTATGGAGATATTATACCAAACATGTTAATGAAGCCAAAACCTTGCACGATATGACAGCAACAATTGTAGCTAACATAAAGGACAGGACTGGGCTTTGTCAGTGATGATGCAATAAACGGAAAGCATATATAAGTGCGGTAAGGTCACTGACTGGAACAGAGATCATCTGGTTTGTTGACCCAACCTTAGCTACAGTATGTCACTGCCGCAATGATTTTGGGTCCTTTTTGGTTTTATTATCACCTACCCGGGGCGATGCTGTCTGGATTTGGCCCCATGCTTGCATCTGGTGTGTCAGAGGGCACAGCAGGCGGTTGGTCGACATCCACGTTGTTCTCGCCGCTGTGGTTGTCCGTGGCACTCCCATTCTCAGCTTGAGAAAGTATTATGTTCTAAAAGACAGATCCAAGAGGTGAGTTGAGCTTAAAACAAAAGTTAAACAGGAATTTAAGATTAAGATTTAAGTTTAAGATTTCAGTCCGTTGAGATTGAAATTTCAATTTTGACCCAGAACAGTAGTGGATTTTTGAGCATCTCAGCAGGTGTAGTCGCCCAGTTGGCTTGGAAATGTAGATGTTTAAATATCCATTTTAGTAAGCATGCGTTTACCAATTTATTTTTGATAGGTCGTGTAATATGATTGAAAGCTCCAGAACAGCTATTTAAAGTGCAGTGTGTAAGATTTAGCGGCATCTAGCGGTGAGGCTGAAGGTTGCAACCAACTGAAACTTCTCCCATGTGCTCAGCATGAAGGATCTCACCACTTCGTACATAGATATAAACGGCTTATTCTAAGGTAACGTAAATATAAAGATTCTTATTTTCCAGTGATGATACACTAAAGAAAACAGCTCTAAACATTATATTCCATTTCTGTCAATAGATACCCCTAAATGCTACACACTGTACCTTTAAGTGGACCATATGATGGCATTGTTTTATCAACAATTTCCTGTCTCACGGCACTCTGGATTCTTTTTTTAATTCAAATAAAATGTTTTTCAACACCAACTAGAGGCAGAGAAACTGCCTGTGTGTCCACTTTTCCTCAACAAGAAACAGTGCTTTGTGGGCTGGGACAAAATGTACTGCAGCCAAAGCATCAAGCTTTCATCCCTCTGAAAGATATTCATGATGATTTACTCCAGGACTTCCTCAGGAAATGTTGACAACTTGAAACAAAATCCCTCTGTTTGCCCCGAGCAATAAACAAACCAAAGATATGCGAGTTCTTCTCACTTCAAAGATGAGGCGAAACATTTCCCTGGAGCAGAACAATTAATTTATCTGTGGACTTCATGAGGGCAATAAGTACACAAGTCACCACACAAGTAAATGAAAGAGGATATAATTAGTGCTGCTAAATAATTATATGTAGCAAAGAGAAACTTAGTTAGTTTATCTTGATTAAATTTTACTGAGAGCTTTGGTACATAAATTGCTTTATGTATAACCAGGCCACGCTAACATAAATGCTGAATTGGCACACTGCCCATCTATACACAAAAGGGCATTAATAAAGTTACTTATGACCGACTGGAAGACTTTTGTAACTCCTATTCTGTGCCACTCCAAGTCTGCAGCACGAGTCAAATAAACACTTTGAGTGCTTAATCTTTCCCACATATACTTTGTCAGGATGTAAGGTATTGTGTGAGTGTTTTTTCGAGTGATGGAGGGGAAAGATGTGGGGGAAATGGATGAATGGGCTTGAAGAAAACGCACTCTGAAGGTGACAGTGTAACAATAACCTCCTCATTAATCTGCGTTTTATTAGTGTGATAATAATCCATATTAATCTACTGTGAATTTATGAGTTAAAAAAAAAACATTGAGGCAAATACAATTATTTGCTTCCTTGCTGAGAATTGCCAGAGCCATGCCAGCCGTTTCCCCCTGCTTCCATTCTTTATGCTAAGCTAATTAACCTTTAGCTCAACAGTTAACGCAGACACTTGTGTACTATTGATCTTCTCACCTAACTCTTGGCAAGAAAGGGGTTCTGTGTAACTACTCCTGGAACAAACAATGTCGACAGAATTGACATAATAAAATTATTTTTCTTTTCTTTCATGCGTGTTTTTTGTATGTATCCATTCACATATGATTATTGCATCACGGCTTCTACTTACATTGAGCTGTTTGTTGTTCTCATTACGGACGCTCTCAAAAGTGTATTTTTCTGAGCGTCTCTGGCGCATTTTGAAGAGACGGGAGCCCCGGTTTGAGGCAAGAGACAGCTCCTCCAGCATGATGTCCTTAGGCACGTTCATTTTCTTCCCAAGATCCATCTCTATGTCTGGACACAAGGAGACATTCAAAAGACTATAAACGGCTTGTGTATATACAATATATACTTGTAAATTGATCTGATTTCAGACAAGATATTTTACAATTTCCCATACTCCCACCAATCAAACCTCATTGAACATAAATTATATTCCCACAGGAAAAAAACAAAAAAACTGCTGCAACAAAAGCACTCTACATGGACTGCTGACTTGGTACTACTGCCAATATGATGAATGAGCAATTATCTTCTCTCGTAATCCACTCTTCTCTAGTGCTTGTTTCGTGGTTAGCGCCACGTGCTTGCTACTGCATGCTGATCATGGAGATGTCACAGGCCTATATCCAAGTGTGAGGCGCGTAATTTGCCAGAATATCGTTCAGCTGTCAGTAGCCTTCAGACCTAGCAACACAGTTGTCCTCGCCCTGAAATAGCTCGTTCAAAGGACGACAAAGGGATTAGTTACTTTGGCCCATAAAAGTATTCATTTACTTATTTATAGTCAGGGTCATAGAAGGGAGGGTTGGCAACTGCTGCACTGGCAAATGATGGGCTCATACCTTGTGGCAGTGTCCAGTGCGTCTGGCAGGGTGATCCGCTGTTTACAGTACAGTTAATATGACTGAGAATTAAATGTGTACTGTAAGGGCGTGGAAGGAGCAGGATGTGAGGAGAAGGAGAGAAGGTGTGAAGGAAACAGAAGCAAAGAAAGGATGCAACAAGAGAAAGAGAGAGAAACTGAGAGGTCAGGGGGATTAGAAAACAAGGAAGTGAAGAGGAAATGACACGGCTACCTTCCTGGGCTTGAACCTCCTTGCAGATTGCTGCCGCCTGCATTTTCCTCTCCCCGGTCGTCATGGTGGAGAACTGTGACATAGCTGCCCCTGGGGAGTCGGGGGTGAGGCAAAAAAGTCACAGGAGACAAAGCACATCAGTGCAACCTGTTCAAACGTACAATGAGACACAAAAGCAAGACAACACGGCTGCATGTTGGCCATCAATTGGCCAACATTGAGAAGCCACACCACGCACAAAGACCCACCAAAGCAGATAGAATTTATTACGGCAGTGAAAAGGGCGAAGTTAGCACATCCCTTTAAATAACCTTGGGCTGTTAAACGCCAAGCACATGCTCTTCAGACATGGCAACCAGCTGTGTCAGGGGTCTGGGAATCAATATGTTTGAAAATACCCAAGTGGGCTGAAAGGACACAGATATGGAACATGTTGTCACAGCAAACTGGATGAAATAGCCCCACGGAAGTTCACACCAAGGTGTCAGTGAACACAACATGAATGTTTCATTCCAATCCAAAATTCTTTTCACAAAGTTTCTTGGTGGAACAAAGTAGCATTTCATGGCCAAAGTCTATTCACCAAGCAAATCCCTCATCGTTTTGGTTCAGTAGATATGAGGCAAGTTTGCAAAGTTCACTTTTATTTTCAACAAAAAAAAACTTCAGAATACTATTAGTTGTGTTCACTTTGAAAAAATTGATGTAAGCAATCAGATGTATGCATACTTGCTGCTGTTAAATCGGATTATTCCCCACATAAAAACGTCAAGCAATAAGACAAAAGGGGTCTTCACGATTCAAAAACACAACTATAAAAGAATATCTAACAGAAACAGTAACACGAGGCAAGCAGTTTGATTGATAGGGAAATTAAGAGGGAGCAACTGTAGGTGGTTGTGAGAATCATGCTTGAGTCAAAGTGGAAGTGTCATGTTACAACTTAACAGCACACCTTTGGAGAGGCCCGAGTGATGGCTTACCTGTCCTGAAGGACCCCTTTGGGCGGAGTATTAAGTTGTGCCTGTCTCCTCAGGGTAGGAAGTCAGAATGGTAAGAGGAGAGAGGGTCAGACAGGGTAGTGCAACCCGTGTGGGTGCTCGTGCTCCACGGCACTGGGGCTTGTCATGGAGAGGGTGAGCAGAGGGGGCTGCAACCACTGAATGAGCGACTGAATGAGTGGGTGGGTGGGTGGGTGGGTGTCACTTTGGCTGTTGTCATTGGTATTTAGTTCAGAAGCAGAGGGGTGACTAAATTTAGAGCAATGCCACTGCTGCTCGCTTTGCCCTCCATCTAGCTATCTATCTTCCTGCCAGTAGCAGGAGGATCAATATCACTGATTTCAAACCAGGAGTGCCCCAGGAGGGATGTCTGCACTTGATTAAGAGTATGTGAAATAAAAATAAAAATGATATTAGCTGAAAATTAGCATGCTGGCAGAAAAGTTATGGAAAAATGGTTGAAACTGATGATGAAGGATTCTAACATAAAACATGCAGTCAACATGACTGCATGAGAATGTGCTTTATCTGTGGCATGATAAAGGTCAATAAAATGTAAGCATTGGAGTAAACTGCCTATACAAAGAGCAATAATCTGTTGCAATAGCGCAACTTTGCACATATAAATGAATTAAAAAGCACCGAAGGGTTGAAAACACTCTTAGAAACTACTGACAAAGCTTTAACATAAAAAATAAAGTTGTTTCAGCAGCAGTTGTCTTCGTCAGCGCTCCAGGATTGTAGTGTGCAGCTAACAATAATTATATTCAGTGGGAACACGACCCCTTCAGGGCCTACCGGCCAATCAGATACTATTTGTTTTAAAAGCCATCATGTGATATAGGAGCAAGGCCTAATAGGGTGCACTCACTTTATAATCCAGTCACTATGTTTTAATTGACCTTGCTCAATTTAATTTACCTCCAATATAATTCTTAACTTGATAACAGAGACAAATAAAGGACGGCAGGTCCGCGGGGGAGTAAAGCATAAGGTTGGATGTTAAAAGCAGCCAGTTCACTGGCATACTGCAATGCCTGGCATGAAGAAAACTAGTCCAGCAACCCCATCCACAAAATGAAATATTTCAAAGCTATGTGCATTGCTCTTTACCCTTTTAATGACATTTGAATCCCAGACACAATATTTTCTAAATCTAAATTGGTAGGGGAAATAATTTCTGTTCGTCATCTCCCTCTGCGTCCTTATCTCTCATCCTCTAATGCTTCGGCTACAGTAGGTACCCACTGTTATTATGTAACTGGTGGTCACCATGGAAACAAGTCCCCACCAACCCCTTCCTACCCCCCCCCCCTCCCCTTTGCTGGATACGGAGCGAGTGACTATTCAAGACAACACATCGTACAAAAAGCTTCATGGGACGGTCCAGCAAGCAACAAATGGCCCGGAGTGAAGTATTTCATGCTTGGAATAGAGAGCAAAGAGCACAAACACACAGTGCGATTTGTGAAATAGTGCTATTTGCTTGTGTTTATTTTGTAACAGGCTTTATGTGAAACCATATCTGAAATGGTTTGAGGCAGAATTGATTACCGGTATTGCATTATGACCATAATAAGAGTTGTCTGAATGGAAGCAGTACAGTGTAACCATCACAGAGATACACTATATGTCAGGATGCTCAGTGAGTCAGTTGAGGCCCGACACAATGCCGTGTGATGAATCTTATTCATGCTCATGAGATTGCTTGGTGAGAATCACATTAGGACATTATGTACTCTGTGGAAACAATAACCTAGCTTTAATCTTTGGAGTCTATAGCGAAAGCCCAAAACAAATGCAAGCCACAAACCCATTACATATATATACCACAAGCAATTCTCCTAGTCCCAGTAAACCTACCATCAACAAGAATGATTCTTTATTGTAGTCATAATTAGGACTAATCAACATTCCTCAATTCAAATTTCACACCCAGCTATGACTGGAATGGGCCAATTCATTTCAGGTGCCCAAAAGAAAAAAAGTCAGCTTCTCATCTCCCATAGTTGGTGGTGAAATGCTTATGCACTAATTAAAATGCACCTGGTGAATAAGTATATTCATCTAACTTATTAGAGCTTACACAACATGCTGAGTTATAGCACTAACCTTTTAAGCCTCTTGTCTAATGCATCAATAATTGGATTTTGTGACACTAAAAATATTTGCTGACCTGGAAACACTGCAAATGTAGTTTAATTTGTTTGATTGAAAATCAATCAAAACCAGCAAAAACAAAGTGCGCAATCACTGCATGCTAAATACATACATCCACGGCAGAAAATTAAACCAAGAGAATGATAAATCCACAAGCTCAAAACAATTGGGGTCACCGTTTCTCTCTCCCTTTTTGCATCCTCACAAATCTCTTTTCTCAAGACACTGTAATAAACCTCCGTCCTATATTCTGAAAGCTTAACTGAACAGTTGTTTTTTTTCAGATATCATGAACAATCACTGAATTTGCTCCGCTTTTTTGCACTGCACATGTCTCTTCACACTCATTCTAAGTAACATACTCATTGCCTCATCTTTCAGGCCCCCTTCAGTGTACTTACCAAACTACAAAGTCGGTTTAATATTCGAGAAATTATCTTTCAGTCTCCATATGTTGTGAGAGTCATCATCCCTTTTCACATTTCGTTATGGCATTCATTAGATTGGATCTAAAATGGTTGATACTAGATATTTACCGGGCAAAAAGCTTAAAGAATTAAAAGAAACAATATTATCAGAACCACAACAATTCTAGCAATCTCTCCAGCTCACTCTCCTCACTTACCATATTATTGCTTGTTATAATATATATGAGTTAAAAAAAGGAAATGTACTTAAATGTATAATGGAATCAGTGAAACTTGGGAGTTTTCTTCTGTTGAAAGGTCACACAGGTTGAGTTGTATTCTATCGCCTCCAACTCCAAGTGTTGCTGGTGTACACAGACTTGTAAGTTGGTTTTCCCAAGGGCCTCTGAAACTCTGAGGAGGACACTGGGGGCCCCATGTTTGCCCGTGTAACTGACCTCTGAGGCTGCCACTGTCTGGGCAGAGACCTGTAATCAGCATGACCGGCAGGGGCGGAGACAGTGCTCCTTGTTAGGGACCCAAATGATGGTAGCGGAGCTCGACTCTCACTGCCGCTTCGGCTCTGGCTCCAAGTCTGGCCGCCTGTTTTCTGCTGGGCTTCGTAAGACGCCCTGGCCTTCCACTCTGCTGGCGGCTCAGGCAATATTTTGCGCTGGGCTGCCAAGCGGACATTTGTGGCTAGGCTTTGCTGGAGGTTCTGGAAAGCAAAGGCTTCATCCACCAGGCCCAGGGGATGGCGGGAGGCGGCCTCCCAGGGCATAAGTGGTTTGCGGCCTTTCTGTAGCCAGGATGCCTGTCTTGCTGGGGGTGTTATGGAGGCCCGAGCCGGAGGCTTGGGAGAAGAAGAAGCCGAAGCTGTGTTCTGGCCTGTGGATGGTACTCTGACTGGTGGGAAAAGGGAGTAGCTCCTGCCAAGTAGCTGTAAAGAAAGATCCAGACATGTTTATTTTAGTAAGAATTCACGCAGCTTGGAAAACAGGAAAATAGAGTAGCTCTTTGACAACACATGTCTTTTAGGTGCTGTAATACTCTAATTTTGAATTTCATGTTTCATTATAGTCTCTGTTTTATTTTTAGTATAACTTTGTAAAACAATGTAAAGATCTGAAATAGCCAGCAAAATGAATGAACTGTTACAAACTCTATTAAACGTATTATTGTTAACTTATTGTGGACTTAAACTTCCATTCCACAATAAGCCTCCTCAACCCAGTGCTTTAGCATTTGTCCAAACATAGTGGAATGCCCTCTTGTTTCTCAGAACAACTGGATTATGGGAGTGCATGGGCTTTCCAGAATAAGCTGCATTCACCTTGTTTTTATTGGATCTACTCTGCTGTACAGCAACACTTGAACACTTGAAAGTATGACAATTAGATTTGGATTTGGAGATGGTGCAACTTAGTAAACTACTAAACTAATACTAAAATATCCATTAGGATGCCTAGACAGCAAAGGGTTATGTGGAGTGACAAAGCACCTCTGTACCCTTTATGGTCTCTGACGATACATTCTTTTGGATATGGCAGACATGCAGAAAAGGCAGTGCTGCCATCATCTGGCGGAAGATGTGTAAGATCAGCAGAGAGCAAGAGATTGCAAAAAGTGAAAGAACAGAGCAGAGGAGAGTGCCGTCGTGAAGAAAGAGAATTGTAGCTGAATGAGTAAAGAGGGAATAAATTATCTGCTGACTCAGGTATCTGGTAGGCCTAAAATGCCTCTGGCAGTGTTATCCTGGATTAGAGCTGACACAAGAAGGGACGAGCAGATTAGATGATGATCTACGGATATGTTTTCATACTGAAGAAAATTAATGAAATAACCATACAGTATGCCTTAAATTGTCTATTTCTATCACTATGCAGATTTGAACATATCTCAGAAAAGACCAGTTGTATTTGGGGTCCTAAGTCTATTAGATAGACCATTTGAGAGTAGAAGGTTGTATAAAATCTGTCCTGCATTTCTTTAAATAAAAATGAGATAATAAGCATTAGATACCAAAGTTTAGTAGTATCAACATACATTTAACATGTAACTAAACCATAATTGTGTACTCTCTGAACCTAGAGTAATTATTTTGTCTCTATTTTATTTAAATTGTATTGCATAAAAAGATTTATGTCTCACACAAACACTTAGATGTCTTTAGGGTGCACGGAAAACAAGTACAGCTGACATAAAGACCAGAAAAGCTGGGGGTGAAGTAGGAATCAAATTCCTCCAGATATAGCCAACCAAGGACAGATATTAAAACTTCCACTTAACAAATAACTGCCCTTTCTAAAAATGCATGACTCAACTCAGCAGTGGCCCACTCACTTGTCCTCCAGAATTGTCCAATGAGGTCGCCTGTATTCCTTGAAGTCACCAGTCTAATAATATCCTTCATGAATGCATCATCAGTTAGTCATTCTGCAGGAATGTGCTTTTCAGGCATTCACCTCAACTGCTATAAAAGTAGGTGATTTGGATAACGAGGTGTTTCTGGCTTAAGCTCTTTCTAGTTGATATTGATATAGAAAACAGATTTTTAATCACAACCTTTGCAAAAAGATAGTAGGTATTATATAGGTAGGAGTTAGTCTAACATAATGGTACTTGAGAATAAACTGACTGATTTATAGCTCTTTTTTTTTTTTAGAAAATATGGAAAATGGAGAAGTCGTGAAATTCAGCAAGATGAAAAGAAAAAAGAATAGAAATTAGCCCAAAGAGCATGCTAAAAGGACAAAAGAAAGGAAAGTCAAACAAGGATAAAATACATTTTAATGGCAGTGCAGGAAAACATACAGGAAGAGCACTATGAAGAGAAACACACAAAGGGAAATGAAAAGAACATAAAGAACAAAAGCAGCCCTGTACCAGCAATATATTTGTGAGCATTACTGGGCTGGATGTTCTTTTAATAATTCTTTTTTTGTAAATCATTTATCATCTATTTATATAATACAATAGCGGGAGAAGATGTATGGAAGAGTGAAGATACGATATCTTTCTCTGTTATCAGGGAAAATACAATCAGGGAAAATACAATCAGGGCCTGAGTAGCTCTTACTGGCTTAAGCTGAAATTCAAGCCTACTATCCCTGGACTTCAGCACTCCCTCTTATAAGGCAGTTTAAATATAGTACCTAACATGATGCAACAGCTGGTAAAAGGCTTGAAATAAAACTAACCCACTTAAGTAGGTGCTATGGACAAGACACTCGGGAGAGCCACTGACGAATAAATCCTTTACTCATTTGACTTTTAAAGTTTAAGCAAGTCAGGGCTAGTTGTCACTTTTTGTAAGGAGTAGTGCAGTATTCTCCAGGCTTCAGTTAAATCTCCAGAGTTGTTACATAATCTGTACTCTGACATCACTGACATTCAAACTTTTGCCTTCATGTTGGTATCATTAAACCCCAAAGACCGACCCTTCTCCATTACTTCTTATTGTTGTGTTAATCATGCTATCCAACTTGATTATATTTAAGTTGTTTTGTCTGTTTATTTGTTTGTTTATCAAATAAGATTGGAGACAGTAAGCATTTTCTTCTTTTCAAAAATCTAATTCCTGTTGTTACTGTCCGATACCATTCACTTCTGATTTCTTTTTTCTCTCACATCCTTCTTTCAATTCTTACTGAGCATATTGCCCTCCTACATTCTTACATTGCCACGACTTTAGCTTTTTTCCCCCTACATAATAGTACATTCATTTTAATTAAGTATCCATATGCATAATTTCAGATAAACATGTTGAAATGTACATGCTTTATAAACATGTAAAGTTAATTTGAGCTCCTTTGTATCTCGTAAGATATGCTTACATCCCACTCTTATTGTTATGTTCTTATTTGTTTGTAATGCCATTTCTATTAGTTCTTCAAACCATGAACACCATCAAGCGCTGTCCTATGACAATAACGAGAGCAGGTGGATGCAAATATAGGCCTTGCAAAAGCAAGTTTATATGCTCAAAATAGTCCACTTGCAAGTGGATTGCAAGAGCACCAACCCTTTGACTCTAGCATATCATGATTCTACCAGAATCACTCTTTATCAACTGCGGCAGGCTTCCAGACCTGAGCGGAGCTCTTTTTAGCTGTGAACTTGGGTTTAGGAGCAGCTCCGGTGTTGCCACCTGCTGCAGATTCAGGCCTTGCAGCTACAGGAAAACTAGGAGCAACATAGACACTGGGAGGCTGTGGCTGGTAAGGTACTGAGGGAGGTGTCAAGTAGGGAGGGCTATTGGCTGGTTGGTAAAGGGCCTGCGGTGCCTGTTGGTAGCTAGGGTTTGGAGATTGAGGAGCTTGGGGATGATAAGCAGGTGGGGCAGGTTGCTGATACGTTTGTTGATTATATGCTTGCTGGTATGGACCAGCAGGGGGGTGCTGATAAGGATTAGAGGGAGGATAAATATTAGCTGGGTTTTGCTGATAGTGGCCATCATGCATCATGGGCTGCATTGGCATCCCATAGGCTTGCTGGGGGTATGGGGCATTTAATGGTCCAGCTGGCTGGGTGAGGGCCATTTGCTCATATCTAATTGGTTGGTTTTCAACAGGTGGATTAGGAGGTGAACAGTCTGGCTTAGGTTCAGGGGGCTTGGCAGCCTCTGCTGCTGGGCCAAAGATAAAGAGTGAGGAATTGAGTTGATAGGGTTGATGCTTCATAACATCGATAACATTGAGTTTAGGTACAGGCTTCTGTTTCTCTTTGCCTTTTTTATTGGCTTTGGTTAAAGGGCTACTTGGAGGGAGCGCCTTTATTGCTGCTGGGGGGTAAGAAGGGGACTGAATAGGATTATATGCCCGTGAAGGAGGACCACGTACGTTGGGTGTATATTTCCACTCATTCGGTAAGGAAGCAACTGGCGATGTCGACCGGCTAGTCTTGTTTGCTTGTACAGTCTCAGAGTCCACAACAAATTTCTCCATACGAGACTGCCTCTTGGCGAACATATCGGCTCCTTTCCCTCTGACGGATGGCATCCCAAAAGATGAACCTTGGGATGATGGGTTAAAGACACTGGCCATTGGGTTGATAGGCGGTGAACCTCGTTGACCAATGGTTAAAGAGTGCATTCGCTGTGGCGGTGGTGGAGGGGCCCGATTGTGTGGGGCATTTTGTTGTAGATGCCAAGGTTTTGGAGACGGAGTGTTCACCATTGACGAGGAAACATTCACAGGCATTTGCTGTGGCTGTGGTGCCCAAGCATTAAAAGGTGCCTGAGGTTGTGTCGGAGGTGGAGGCCATGTATTTATTGGTGGCTGTGGTGGAGTCTTTGAAATGGATTGTTGCCAGTTTGGTTGTGGTGTGAGCTGGGGTGGAACTGGTTGATGTTGGGCCTGATTTTGCTCTGGGGCCCAAGAATTCATGGGGTGCTGACCATGTTCTGAAGGGTGCTGGGCCCATGATGGAGAGGACTGAGCCTGAGCAGGTACTGTCGGCCATGGATTCAAAATGGCTTGAGGCTGTGCTGGGGGTTGTGCTTGGGCTGCTTGGATCCAAGGTGGCTGAACTTGGGCTTGAGTTTGTGATGGAGGCCATTCATTAATTAAAGGTTGCTGTTGAGGCTGAGTTGAGACCCACAGTGGTTGGGGCTGACCTGGCGCTTGCGGTGGTTGGGGCTGACCTGGCGCTTGGGCCTGTGACCATGCTTGTTGTGGAGCCTGATGCTGTGGTGGCTGAACCCATGGCGGCTGTGGCTGGGATTCGGGCTGATCCTGTTGAGCCCAAGGAGGTTGTGCTTGGGATGGTGTTTGATGCTGAGAGTCTGTTTGTGATGGCTGTGCCCATGGGGTCTGGGGCTGCTGCTGCATTGGTTCTTGAGGTTGACCCCAGGTTGGTTGCATTTGCTGCAGATTTGGCTGCTCATGTGAGTGTGCCCAGGGTGGCTGAACCTGTGGATGAGACTGTGGTTGCTCTTGAGGCTGAGTCCAGGATGGCTGAGCTTGAGTCTGAGCCTGTGCTTGCCCTTGAGGTCGAGTCCAGGATGGCTGAGCTTGAGTCTGAGCCTGTGCTTGCCCTTGAGGCTGAGTCCAGGATGGCTGAATTTGAGGCGTCCAAGTATTTGTGGGGGGTTGAGGCTGTGCTTGGGTCTGAGAAGGTTGTTGTGTCATCCAAGGTGGCTGTGGTGGGGACTGACTATGAGGTGGTTCCTGGGACTGCACTTGAGCTGGATGCCAAGAACTGGTAGATGGCTGATATTGTGCTTGGGTTGGTGCTGGAGCCCAGCTAGGAACAGGAGCAGGCTCAGGCTGCAGGGTAGAATTTATATCACTATTTTCCTCCTGAGCTGTCACTTGCAGAGGCTGTGGTTGAGATTCAGGTTCCAGGGGAGTCCATGTGTGCTGTTCCTCTGTGGTGGTGCTGGCAGGAGTCTCCTGGGGGGCAGGAGGGGGAGAGGGCTCAGGGGCAGGTGCTGGGGTTGGCTCTAGTTCTGGAGCAGGGGTAGTCTCTGTGGTGGGGGCTACAGCAGGTGTGGATACACTATTTTCAGCTTGTTGAGGCATGTCCTGGTTTGTCACTTCTATCTGTGGCGACCAAGGAGGAGAGTAGGGGTTGATCACAGGCTTTGGAGCTACTGGTGGAGGTGCCTTGTGTTTCATTTGTTGAGACTGCAAGAAATTACAAGCCTCAGCCCCAAGGCTAAGGTAGTCTTCCTCAGCTCCTGACTCAAATCCCAACTTCTTATCCTTTCTGTTGAGGAGGTTTAGCAGTGCTGGGTTTGGCGATACTTTTGGTGCTTCCTTAAATGTGAACATAGGCTTGCCAACATTTCTTCTCCTTGCGTCCGACAAAACACCAGTCCGACTTGCAGGGGTAGAAATGCGCTCATCCCGGGAAGCTATCTGCTCTCCTTGGCCCACAAAATCTTGATTGGTCCCACTCATTGTGGGAGAATAATAAGTAGCCGGCATGTTTTCTACTGAGAATGGCTTTGCAGTACGATTGCTGAGAGTACTCTGCATTTCACTGGTTTGATGTTGGACTGTGCCATTGATGTTTGTAGAATACTGCTGCATCTGCTGTTGCTCTTGATGATATTCTTGCTGCTGCTGCTGCTGATACATTTGCTGTTGTTGATAATGCTGTTGTTCATACTGTTGCTGCTGATATTGTTGTTGTTGTTGTTGTTGTTGGTAGTTCTGTTGTTGCTCATAGCACTGCTGTTCCTGATATTGCTGGGACTGTTGTTGGTGTTGGCTTTGTTGGTGTATATTTACATCCATGTCAGCATGGCCCTCTGTTGTGGATTGCATGTAGGAGTGCTCTTCTGTCTTATTTTCAACCATCGGCACTGCTTCCACGGGAATCCCCTGACGCCTAAGCTCGTCATGTTCAGCTGAAATCTCATCCATCCTTAGACGCCGTTGGGCAAACATTACGGCACCCTTGCCCTTGGTTTCGGGCAAACATTCCATCTCAGCTTGGTTGTTCAGGTTCCTTTCAATCTCAAGGAGACCCTTGTCCCAATTGATAGTTAGCACACCTTTGCTACTACGGACATTAGTGAGGAAATGCTTGTCTATTTCAGAACCGTTTGGAGCCACAAGGGTAAATTCAACAGCATGAGTTTCTTGTTTCTCGTCTTCGTTTTCCTCGTCGTCTTCGTCGCTGTACTCTGGTTCGTCTTCTCCTGTGCCGTAGCTCACAAGTGTGTATTTCTTGGCCCTCTGCCGATGTTTCTTGAACATCAACACCCCCTTGTTGTTGGGGTTGGGCGGAGCAGCCGTTAGAAGGAGAGCGATGCGTTTACATTTGGACTTGGCCTCTTTCAACTGCTTATCAGACAGACTCTCGCTGCGCCTGAGCCCTGTGTAGAGAAGAGAGTTCAGTGTTTAGAATAAATGGTCCTACATCTGGGAATCCAAATAAGTGCTTCACCTGACATTATAGGTATACATAAAATACACTGGAGTTAGAATCAACACAAATCATATTATCTGCTTGCTTTTCTATGTCTCCATTAGAAATGTTTACTTTCCAGCTCTTTGATAACAAGAACAACTTCAAGTCAGTCCTTACACACTGTATCTGCATTAATCATGTCATTGAAGATGACTAAATTACTTTAAATTATCACTGTTGAAATATGTTTTTCAAAATAAGCCCATCCTGAATGCCAGTCAGTAAATTTCATCATGTAAACCCTATTTTGGTTTATCACTCATCTGCAGAGTAAAAATAGACCTTGCACAAATAACAGGTTGACAGATGACAAATTAAGTTTCGAAACAAGTTTAGCAAGGCACCAGCATATAACATTATATACTGATATTAACCTTCTGTAAATAAAAAAAGAAATCCGCAATACATTTAAAAAATACATTCAATGTTCACATGAAAAGCAGAAATAACTACAGACTAATAAACAATTTATACTGTATGCACTGTGGTTGAACTGATCCAAACACACAACAAATATGAGCTGAGCTATTAACTGATTTCATCACATTCTTAGTTCACACATATTTATCCACCTATAACTATGTATTTCCCAATTTTCTCATTCAGTTGAATATAAAACATCAATCCAAGAAGCAATAATTAAATCCTCTGACGCATGTCTAACATCCTCATTTGTCCACAGACAATAAACATTAAATCAGTTGCTCTTCATAAAGAAGCCAGGAATAGGACCTGAGAAAGATTAAAAGAAAACCTGCATGCAATAAATTGACCAGGACCAGAGTGTCCTTACCAGTCCTTATCTGTAAGTTCACAAGCTGTCCACTAAATCCTTCTGTTCTTCTTAAATCTGTCACATGTGCTGACAGTTAGGCCAATACAATAACAGAAATCACACGACAAAGCCATAATACGTTTGCTTTCTTTTTCATATTCCTGCAAGACAAACCTGAAGGTGGAGGAGCCAGCGGGAGTGAGCAACGGACTCACTTTTTTAGCTCAGTTAAAGCACCCAGTTTGAAAGGATCAGGTAACGGGCTAGGGGAGCACATGCTGGTGTCTGTCAAAGGGCCACTTCTGCAGTCATCATCAGCGTGCTGGTGTTATATTTATGTCTTCTACACAGCTCAGAGGAGCGCCTCAGTATCATCATCGAGCCTCTTCAAATGGATAGTTCAACGGTTTTATAGATTTGAGTAGCTTCCTACATGTGATCAATTAAACTTTTTTCATTTGATTCTTTAATCTAGCTTTACCGAGACAGTACCGAGGCACAGTCAAGAAAGAATAGCAAACGGTTGCTATTCTTTCTTGACTGTGCCTCGGTACTGTCCCTTTGATTCTGTTGTAGTTCAGGTTTGACCCGGAAGTATGCACTTCCATTTGAAGGAATGAGCACCCTCCTCCAACTGCAGTGAAAGACACACACTATTTTGAGGAGCACACACACTGGACATCAGGCTTTGGAATGCACACATGTTGTTGACAAATGCAGTTTACTGTTGACCTATTAGCATGCAGATCCCCCTTAAGGAATAGGTCATTATTACGCACACTCAAAGAAAGAATGCACACCAGAGAGTATTATCCATGGAAATAGTACATAGGTACTTACTGGCGTGTCTTGCCCGATGCTTGTTGGGTTTGTCTTGATCCCCCTCAGAATCAGAGTCATGCTCTTCAGCTGGTGTCGCCTCTTCTGAGGCAATTTCAAAAGAGACAGTGAAAGACCCAGGAACTGCCTCGCAGTGCCCTCCCCCTTCTTCTCCTTCACTATGGGATCCAACACTTCCACTGACCCTGGGGCCACCCACACTCACGAGGCCCCTCCCTGCTCCTGATGCTGCTGGCTGCTGCAAAATGACCTCCACCTGCCCCAGCATCGAAGGAGAGCTGAGCACCACTCCATGCTGGCCGAGTGGCTGTCTGACAGGACACGGTACATCGTGTGACACAGTGGTTGTGTGGATCATGTCAACAGCCTCTTTGTTTGAGAGCTCTCCGTCTATCCCATGAGCACTCCCAAGAGCGGTGCAGCCCACATGGTCCAAGGTTTGCTCAGACAGGGACACCTGGAGCTCAACCATGTCCCCAGGCGGGAAGCACTGCCGTCCTTCTCCATCATTTTCCTGAAAGTCATGGTCCCGGTCTCTCCCATTACCAGATGATGGAACATGTAGCTGGGTGTAAAGCAGCTGGGGTCCCTTGCGAAACTCTGTGTCACCGCCCAACCCATATGCCTCATCCTGAGACTCAGAAATGTAGAGTTCCCTTGGACTTTGAGACCTGTGCTTTGGGGTAAAGATGTGGAGGGTGGTGCTCTTTAAAGCCTCACCAGAGGAGTCTCTCCCTCCACCGTATGTCTCTTCTGATTCAGATTCTTCAGGGGGGATGGTGCAGTATCTTTCAGAAGAAAGGGGAGAACGAGGAATGAGTAAGTGGAGCAACATTTCTTTTTTCAGTAACCATCGTTGATCAAAAGGTCACCTCTTGTATTATAAGTTATTTAAACAAGGCATTGGGCTTTCGAACAACTGCATTTAAAGATAAGTGACTTTTAGAATAATACAAAGTCTCTGTGCTGCCTTTAAACCATCTGATTTTTTTATCCATTCTTTTTCTATTTTTTCTTTTTATACAAAGGTGTGGTGTCCACACATTTACAATACCATTTAAATAAGAAATACATCAACACTGAGGACGGTTGAGGAAGTAAACCTGTCTCCCACTGCTGAAGTTATCAAGTAGATTTAATCTTCATGCAGCAAGTTAAATGAAAGGGTCAGCTCACTGAAGAGGAAAGTAATCACGTTTCAACATCGCTCGGTCTAATTTCCACTTTCAAGGGCAGCAAGGAATAGCATAACAGAATGTCATTACCTCTGACTGCAATTATTAAATTTAAGTTGATTAGACCTCAGTGAGTACTCATTTTCTCTGACATATCATAATACATTTTGATAGCTACAAGTTGAGGTTATTCAGATTCTATAGTCACGAAGTCAGAGAAGCGATCCTGCACTGTGCTTATAGTCCTGCTATATAAATGTCCCTCTGCAGTTTAAATTTGGGCACATTAAGGCATATGCAGCAATATTTGAGGACATGTCAGCCTGATAAACACACTGGCAATACCCACTGCGTAATGGCTGAGCAGTTGCATGTCAATCACACACACAAAATCTGTAGCGCCTTGGCCAAGCCGGTTTGAAGGTCAGCATGACTGACACGCATTAACTCGCTAATTCACACACAGACACGAATGCACATAATACACAGTCGTCGGTTCACTGAGCAATGCAAAAGGGCACAGGTCATAAAACAACATGCCATCTAAATGGTAATACAGTGGTGCAATAATTAGTTTTAACCTTCTGTTGCGAATGCCATGAACCTACAGTACTGCATGGCTCATGATACACAGATGCTAGATGTACAGAGTACCACTTCGCTATCATTAATCTCACATGTGGCCCTACCTTTTGACAAGAAGCTGCAGACAGTCGATCAACGTGTCGATGAGTGCAATGGCTCGTAATAAGGTGAGATCAGCGCATGGCTCTCCGTTGAGTGACACCACCTCATCACCTTCTCGCACTCCGGCAAGGAAGGCACGGCCCCCTTCTTCTACCTGTGGAAGACAACATCTTAGTAAGAAGGCAAAAAATTTGAAAAAACAGACATATCACATACCAATCAGTGTCCATCATCATAGGTAAACATCATCTTCACTGACAGCGTTAGAGCGTCTACATCAGGTAACAGTAACCTCCGCTCAACAAGTTAATTTCAAGCAACAATTTGCACAATTCACACTACAATGTACAACTAATGTCACTGATATTGAAGACATAGGCTGGGCTAGAGACACCCACAAACACAAATGCACTCCCTCAGATAAAGATCTAGACCAGCTGGGATGCCTCAGGTGTGAGAATTGCCCTCTCACCCTCACAAACAGGCTGTGACATAGCCATAACAATGCATCATCTTTGAAATGTTGTCAGTTGCCAGGCCAGTGTCACAAATACATTTTTTCTTGAAAAGCGAGAGGACAACAGTGTTTAAGCAGTGTTTTTAAGCGGAGTATAAGTGAGTCCGCCTGCAAATAATAATAATGTCTACAAAACAGAAAATTTGAGTAAATAGGTAAGTAACGAAGGCGAGGTGCGGGCCTTTTGCACAAATTAATTCTAAACATTTGGAAAATAAGTATGTGATCAACAAGTCACTGTTGAGGCAAGCAATATGCGCATAATTCACACTACAATGTACAATCACTGATATCAAAGACATCAATGATAAAAAAAAGTGCCAGTTCTACCTTGCATGTTAACCATGCATCTGCATAAAATTGCAGCTATGCACAGACACATTTAAAGGCACCTCTTTATACAGTTAACCTAATGACTGATGGATTCATTCCCTTGTAATTGGTTCCAGAGGCCAATAAAATAAGAATAAGAAAAATACCCCATAAATGTTGCAGAAAACACCATTTATACAGCGAGGTAGAGAAATGAATTGTTAGAGGACATGCCTTCAGGAAATATGTTAAGATACTTTGCAAATACTACAAACAAACAGCTTTAGAAAGAAGGTTGATAACGTCTGCAATGGTTTACAATTTTTTTGAGATTGGTAACCACGTAAAAATGCAGCAATAGTAGTAACTGTTTTTCTCCAGTTTAATTCTTGTTGCATACAATCCCTCTCCGTCTTCTCCGTGATTCTTGTCTGTCAACTGTCAAATAAAGACAAAATATACAAATAATCGAATAATATTTGAAGAGATAATACTCCAAAACACAATTAATTCACCATAATGAAATCATGTATCACAGTCTTTGTCTTGGCTAATTGCCCTAAATAATGAAATCACAAATTTACACAGTAATGTTACTGATACATCAGAGTCAATACAGGTTAACCTTTAACACTGAGCACGAGTAAACGGCCATGCTGTTCTACCCATTGACCATGCAAATGTCCCTTTGCTAACACTTCAGCACAAATTGAAATTTTTCATTTCATTATCACTATACAAAAACAAAGTCTTCTAAGTTTCTTGTGTCAATGTTGTTGTTACCCAGAAAACCTTCCTGGCAAGCAGCATCCACATAAATTGTGGAACTGCTCTGCTCATTTCAAAACGTATCCATCTCCCTGTTTATTTCAACAACACTACCCACAGAGAGCCTATGTAACTTTCTCATGCATTGCTTTGTTTTTCATATGTTACAGTCATAAAGGTAGACACAGAAAACAAAAAACAACACGCCAAACAGTTATCTCCATTGACATGCGTCCAATTTGAGATACTTGCAGTAAAACAATCTTGTCACTAGATGGCAATGCACACACACATATGCGCACATACACTCACACACACACACACACATCTTTCACTGGGTGGGGGGGGGAGAGAATCTCTGTGTGAACATAATATAAGCAGTATGAGGCAATACAATGAGTCTACTTTGCTATGCACACAAAGTATTTTATAAGTAAATTTATAGAGCTGGTAACTTCCAGATAAAACCCCTCTGACTCCATGCCTGAGTTTTTAAGAGTTAATGGTGTGTAAGCAGGCCCTATAAGGCAGCCTGTGTATTGGGTCACCTCATTACAGGGACGATGGTTTGTCTGCAAGGCCGTGCAGAGCGGCCACTTGTGCGCCGAAAAAGGAGGGGAAACATTTGTCGTTGTCTCTCCTCGCATCACAAAGATACACAGTTAGTCAGGCAATGTTCACAGGAGGCAAATACCTCCGAGTGTGTCATTCTTGTTTGTCACATGCTGCTTGTAAATAGAAACACTGTCTATTGTCTTGCTGCAGGAAAGGAAAGGATAGCAAACAACTGCTGTAGGTGTCAGAAGAGGAGAACATAAATGGTGTTGGCGAGATATTTCAAATAAAGTGTTCCCAAAAATACCATTGCCCTGATCAGCAGAATTTACTACTGACATCATGTTGGGCCACAATTAGACTACATTATATGCCCTTGTTATCCTGGGTTGCCCATTTTCAAATGATCTATTTAACAGGCTTCAACACAACAGAAAATCACAGGAAATACGGAACTGCATAATGTGTCCACAGAGCTCCCGGCGGTTCCTGGCCTTCACAGCTTTAAGCAATTATGTGTTTTACATTTAAGGGAAACATTTTCCAGCTGCCTTACAGGTAGCAATAATGACATTTAGAGTCTTTATTCTTCTTTTGTCTTCAAGGAGAAACATGTCAAGGGCTAGGGAGTTTAGTTCATTTGCTTTAGTTTATTACATTTATTTGTCAAGGAACATGTACAAAAACATTATTCTCATAAGTGATATGTAGAACAAAGAAATACTAGGCAATTTTCACTTCCCCTGCCAACAATTTCCAACTTATTGCAAATGCATTGCATCGCATTAGGATGAATTATATTGTAGTAAAGTGTTTATACAAGAGTTGCAGTTCTCTTTATTTATTCTTTACTTTCATTTGAGCCGAGACGAATTTGCCCAGACGTTTCTTAATTTTGGTTTTGGGAAGTAAATGTATTTTGAAACCTACATATATATGATGTAAACCACATTGATAACACATTATCAATGATATACAAGTTATTATGATTTATTAATGAAACTTAACAGGATCAAACTAAATGTGTATACGTCAACATTTTGCAACGGGTACTTCTGTCACTGTCCAGAGAAAACAGTGCATCAAATTTGACAATTTTTTATCTTGTTGCACCTCCTTTATGGCTTCTAAAAATAAATAAACCACAAAACCCCTGTTGGGTTGACTGAAAAATGCTTTGTCACAAAGCTAAAATACAAGGCTGTTGGTGAGTCACATCGGAGTCCAGCTTAACCTCACTTTGGCTGGCACTAGAAAAGAGCATTCAGAGCCAGAAACACTGCATCTCACAACTATATCATCAAAATATTTAGCAGTTGGGGCACTGTTCTTTGTTTAGATGATGTGAAATAGAAAAGTGGGAAAACTAGCACAGTCATCATCTGAGGTCAATGCTGTCTTCCGGGACCAGGATGTCGATGTTTTGCTGAAAAACACAATGCCAAAAACTCCAGTTATGGAAGGAGCTGTGAAGCACTTTGTTTATTCTGGGAAAATGGCACTGGATGAATGAAGCAATGGCATTTTGCTGATTACTTGGCAGCTGAATAAGGTTCCTATGGTGAACTATTAGGACTGAAAAATCGTCAACAAGAGCTCTTTTTGCTCTGTAAAGGGCAAGTTAACCCAGGCAGAGGAAGAGGACTGGTATTACATGTATGAGTATATTTAAATGCAATAAGGATAACATTTGGATTAGTTCATATTAGTATAGTCTCTGATAAGTTTCAGACTTGCATTAAGATTACATTTGCTTTGTCATTCAGTGCTCTGAAACTGATCTGATGCATGATGACATTCCACATACCAAGATGGCATACCTTAGTAATTAGGAGACCAAAATGTCTCCTGTTTGGGTTGGTAGGATTCAAGCAATTCATTTTTTTTGGTACATCTGTACAAATAAGCTTATTCACGTTTGCTAATGCATCCAAAACGAGACAAAACTATTTCCAGCCAATCATAAATTGTTCCTGTTTTTCTCAGTTTTGATCGTGTATTTGTTTGTCATCTATCACACAATCTTGTATTGTGTAGTTTCTGTAGCTTTAAAAATAAAGTGACCTCATCCACTTTGTACTCAGGCCAGGACTCCAGAGAAGAAGAAAAATACTGCCTCCCTTATATGGACAGAACCTTTACGGAGTGGATACCCCGTGCCCTTACACTGTACTGCCTGTCAGTACACTGAACAATCACTTTCTCTCAGGAAACACAGTATCCACTACATTCAACAGAAGCTTTCAAAAACACACACATTTTATCGGACACAGGAGAGCCTCTGGCCTAAGTGTATTTGTCATGATCCTGGTATGTTTGCTTTTTTGACTTTTAACTAACAGATTTGACTCTCTGTCCCTCTTCCCTCAAGAAGAGTTTGGAGGTTTAGAGTTATGCCTTCCAGATGAGGTGGATTAAAAAACCCAGATCCCTACACCAAGGCATAAGCATCCTATAGCTACTTCACTTTAATAAGTCAACACTTAAAATGAAGTGTATTCATAAGACTGGAGGCTACACTACTCTAAACACCTCATTTATGTCTCAAATTAGACAATAAAGTTTCAAGAGGGAGTTAACACTTAAACATTAGAAGAAGGGGGCATTCTCCCATATGGGCAAAAGGACAGAGACATTCACTGCTGTTTTTTTGTGTGTTCAAGACTTTGTGAAATATGTGCAATATGAACAAGCTTGGAAGGTTGCTGTGAATCTACCAGAATTAGTTTGTTTAAGAATTATGATTGGATGTTCAAGTTGTCTGCTTGCTACCTTTGTGATTGTCTTCATGTCCTTTTGTTTATCATACAACATGGGGAAACTATTTCAACAGAGACCTACAGTGCAGTAAAAATGCTTTTATTCTGATATAAGCCACTCACTAAATGCAAGAAACAATGATAATTAGCAATTTTTCTGTCTCTTAAAATCAACTAAGCAGATGTTTATGAGCTTATTTGAAGCTTCAGTCGATGTGTATCCACTTGTTCAATTGAAGGGACTATTTCTTGGCTACAAATGCAATAATAATATATATATATATATATATATATATATATATATATATATATATATATATATATATATATATATATTCATACAAAAAAGCAAAATAACAAGTCACAAATGAAAGTCAGAACTGTGGCCTCGATAGACACTAAACACGTTTCAAACTGTCTTTGGAATGATCTATTGATGATTTCAGAGTGCACTCTTCTGGCGGAGCTTTGATGTTGCAGGAATGCAGCTTAAGAAAAACATTTACATGTTCACCACATGGAGGACAAGTTAATAGGGATCTGTACAGCTTGAGCACTTGCAAACATGCACTGCTATACCATATATAGAGTCACAGCAGCTCTTCAAAGTAAAAGGCACTTTTACCTCTCTCGGTGCACATTAATGTCACCGGAAAAATACCTAAAGGTAATCTTGAAACATCTGTCTATATGTCTGCAGGAATAAGACATTTCTATTTTACATCTTAATTAATCGGACATTTCTATTTGAGCAAGGTGCAACAAAACTTCTGAATGTTAACCTAATCTATTTGGAGTTTATTTATGCAAACGCACAAACGCAATACATTACGGATAGAATGAATATAGCATGGAAGATACCGTAGTCCAGAGGATAAGCTGTTCATGAGTATTTTGCACTCAGATTGTTTTACATCTAGTACAACATGCAGCATAATCATGTCACCACAGCTGACTAATCAGAACAGAATTGTATTTTATAGTATTTATGTATATAAACAGTTGCACAATGCAAGACATAACACTTGAGACAGACGGGCAAAAGTATGAAGAATTGACACGCACATTCTGTGCAAATAATAGCCTAATGCAATGAACTATTATCCGTCTACACTGACATAAAATGTGTCATTTCTGTCTATATGCCTGCATCATAACAAAAGTAGCTTCATCACAGGGCAGATTAAATCATCTACTTATTTTACCTATAAGGTTTATTACCATGCAGGCTAAACAAATATTATGGAGCCAAAGCAGTTCGAGCATAACCTACAATTTGCCTACCCTCTTCTCTATTTGAATGTTATTCTAACGTGACATCAGCTTAGTTTTTGCTGACTTTTCTTGTTTGTTTGCATTGGTATTCCAGCATAACGACCACATTTCACTCTTCAGGTTGGTTACTCGTCCGAAAAATACCTTTGCTTTCTTGCTGAAGTCTTCGTGAGTGATAACAGATCACACTGCCCTCAGCTTCACACTCTCTCTTGGCCTTGACCATATAAGGGTCCCGAGGAATCTCGCACCAAAACACAGCCAAAGCGCTCGAAAACGCAGCCTACACGCACTTCTCCGAATAAATTCACTCCCACCAGGGTTTATCCAACTGCATTACTCAACAAAACTCGATAAAAACTGATGCCATAGGCATGGTACTTGTGATTCATCCTATGAAATCTTCATTAGGCTATTTGTATTATCTTGAGAGCCCAGAATTATCAAATAGCAAAGCATACGGCATAACGCTGTTTTATATTAGTTGAAAACTCAGCGTTAAAAATACATTTATCATCCAACAGATTGGCAGAGACAGAGAGAAATATATAGATACCTGGGAGACGAAGAAAGGTCTGTAGGTGTCCCCCTCTCCCTCCCTCAGGGAGAACCCCCAGGGTGCACCACCACGCAGCGTAACGCAGATGTAATCCCCGGTGCCCATGCTGCGAACACCTCCTCAGCCAAACCTCCACAGCGCGAACATCGAGCTGTCAGCCGGACCACCAGCACTTTGCAAAAACCACCTCCACCACACCGCTGTATAATCCCCATCATCTGAGTCCAGCCCGCTCAAGAAACGTCACGGCGCAAGGACCCGCCTGCAGGCGTTGCATGCAACTGGTGGTTCGTCATAGAAAGCTTTTGGAGTTAACATACTCGAGCATTGGTATCCCAATAAACATGAGAGAACAGCTATATGATCTACTTTCAAAACAATACATGTCAACGTCTGCAGAAAACAACCCTAAAAGGCATTTTAATCCAAAGAATAAACCACATACAGTCTTTAATGACCTATTATACAAATATGATAATATTAGTGTATTAATGCATAATTGTGAGATCGCATCTTATTATCAGGCTATTGTAGAAGAAAGAATGGCACGCCTTTTTCTTCTTTGTTTGTTTATTTTGTCCATATTCTGCAATATCTACAATAACATCACTTCACTCACACTGTAGGATAATCGTGTCAAAGTCTGCAATACAAATGTATAGATATAGAGTGGTGCCTATCATTTAATTAAAAAAAACACTATGATTTGTCTGTAAATGTGGAGTGTACATTTTCACAGTTTGTGTCAACCCCAAGGAAAACATTTCCTTCTGATATCATCCATATGTTAAATCTAGTCACGCTAGAGTGTATCTTTTATCATCTCAGAGTGAAAGCTATTGTGCTCAGCGTTCAGATAATGATGAAGGATATTACAGCATGTGAAACTCACAGGTCCACATCACATCCATAAACTGTGCTGACGTGTATGGGTTCCCTCTCTTTCACGCATGCGCACAGCGCCAGACACGACAGCCCACGGCCCTCTCAAAGTTAGCTAAAAACACATCGACCACAGCCAGATGTTCAACTGTTTACTCTTCAGCATAAAAGCACTATGTGACGTTTCAAAACAAATATATGGGTAAACAGAACGTATAATGTGTGGCAATATGCTGTAGAATCCTTATATGTAGAAACAATTAGTGTGTTTGTGTCATTCATATCGTATAAGAACTATTATTTTGGCGTTAATGATTTTATTTTGAAATTTATAACCGGAAACCGTGAGTCTTTTCCTCCTTGGTGCTTTTTCCATCGCGTTAACAACGTAGCGACCGGTGCTTTGGTGGAGTTTGACGTGGCACTCTACATACACTGAGGGCAATAGGCGTTGAAGAGGACTCTGCCCAATATCCAGGTAAATACTATTACGACAATGTATACACATGTAGCCAATACAAATGTGTCATTCTGTCTCCCGTGTTTGTTAATTTGAAGGCATTTATGGTTGAAATAAATTCTGTGCAAAGGAAAAGTTTGTGGTAATTTCCGCGTAGCTAGCAAGATGCTTTCTATCAACATGTGACGTTAATCAACACTTGGCTGAGGTGCTGCTGTTCTGTCACGTTACTGTGCTCTTTCCACACGGTGTTAAGCTATAAGTCATACGGTACTAACGTTAAGATGGAGGATAAACATGCGTGTCCGTTCGTCCGGGTGTGAAACGAAAGAAGGCAGGGATGCTCAAATCATTAGCTATCATAACGGTCTTTGACGTGGCAATTCTCAGGAGGTGGCAGACACGATAAGGTATCGAGTGAACAATTTACCACGGTTATTTATTGCTCTTTGTGCATGAATTTGAGTTGAATTGGTGTATTATGTAGTAGTAAAGGGCTTTCATGGAGTTGTCGTTACGCAGCTGATATTTTTGTTGACACCAGCTGTGCCGAAGTTCAACTTGTTTTAAAAGACCCTGAAGAAGTCCACGGGGCCAGGCCCATTTGCTTTAAGAACTTAAAAAGTGTCTTTAAATGGCCTTAATTACAGGCCTGTACGGGTATTCATATTTCCGGAATTGTGCAAATGTGAGAGAACATAAAAACGGACTCATGTCGTCACTTGAAGATAATATTGGCAAGGATATGCCTGCCTTATCTCTCAGTAACCAATGTCAAAGGTCCATGTTACATGAGTGTCGGTGATTGAACGAGGTCAAATATCAGTTGTTGGTGTGTGTGGCCTTGTAAATATGCTGGATTTATAAGTTAGTTTGAACACATTATAGACTACCTAAATAAAAATGCTTAACTTTCAAATGTCACTCTTTCAACTTAACAGGTTGTCAAAACTCATTCATCCTGGTATGAAAAGGCAGTGAAATCCCATCAAAATGAGTCAACAGAGTTATGTTGCTGCACCCCCGTACTCCCAGGCCCAGCCAGGGATGGGGGGCTACCAAGGTGGATTTGGAGCTGGTCCTCCACAGCCCCTCTATGGGCACTATGGTGGACCGCCTCAGGCATTCGCCGCTCCACCAGCAGGTAAAAGACTCTGAAATAACGTGGTTGGTAGGCTTTCATTCAAAAGCTTTATCTTGTGACCGAGCATGATCAGCTCAATCATTTTTGAATTGTACCAAATAGTGATTGAAGTCCAAACAAGTTCCTAAAATCTCAGTAGAACTACTGACCTCTTTAGAATGGAAGGTCAAGACGAAGTCAAAGATGCTGTCATGCTTTCTTGGCAACAACGTTGCCACTGCGATCACAGTAGACACGATGGACATCACTGGAATTAAATGATCACCTGCATTGATGACCAAAATCTGAGAACCTCTAAGAACCCTGTTCTCACTTACATATTGACAGTTTAAAAAGTCTAGAAACAAAAGAAGTCGTGTTCAGATTATTTGGCAAGCCGTATTTCACCGGAATATACTTGATTCTGTGAAGACTATGCAAATATTCTGCACACAATGTGTCCGTTTCTCACCACAGGTATGACGAAATCACCAGTTTCCTCTGCTGCCGGTATGCCTCCACCTCCAGCGTCCAATCAGTACAATCCAAATGTCCAGCAGAATGGCGCACATCCACAAAGGTAAACATTTTCACTAAACAGCAACTGTTTGGACAGCTAATATTCTCTCTGAAATCAACACAAGGAGAGTATGAATGTGGAAGTATTGCAGTTGAAATAGACGAAGAAAGATGTCTGCAGTTGATGAATCATAAGAGGCCACAATTTTAGTTGTTATTGTTAAACTGTATAATTGTCCAAGTAAAATGTTTTTATGTTAATCAGCAAGGATTAGAAACAGATCTAATTGGACGATGTTATCAAAATTATATGCTGCATGTTAAAAACAGGTTCAAGTATTAAGCACATAGTAAGACCACACTGTACCTGCTTTATATTAAGGGTCCTTATATTCCTCAGATACCCTGCTCCACCAGCTGCTTCTGCATATGGACAACCTCTACAGTCCCCATACAACAGCATGGCTTCTATGGCCCCGCCTCCAGCACAGCAGCTCACCAATCAGATGAGTTCCATGAACTTGGGCAACTATGGTAAGTTTGCTATTTACTTATTTATTCTTGTTACAGATCATACAGCATCGTGTGGCATACAGAGAAAAACAAAAATAGAGCCCAAGTAACTCTTTTTAAAAATCTGATTATAGTATTTCAGTTGGCAGAATGAGACAATGGATTAGAAAAATGACAGCAAGAATGACCTCACCAGATTTCTTCATTTCACTTCATGATTGTGTAGCCCCAGGTCCCATGCAGAGCCCACCTACTCCAACAAGCTCTGTAGCCCAGCAGCCTTTCCAAACTTCCCTTCCTCCAGGAATGGGCCAGCCACAGATGCCTCCAGGCCCGCAGTCACCCCACATGTCCCCCCAGATGTCTCCACCACAGTCACCCTTAGCAAGCATGCCGATGGCAGGTCCACCGATGGCAGGTCAACAGATGGCAGGTCAACAGATGGCAGGCCCACCGATGGCAGGCATGGGTAGACCCTTCCCCGGGCCACCTCCTTCAGGCCCCGGAGCTTTCCAGCAGCCTGGTCCCGGAGCTTTCCAGCAGCCTGGTCCCGGAGCTTTCCAGCAGCCTGGTCCCGGAGCTTTCCAGCAGCCTGGTCCCGGAGCTGCTGGTCCACCAGGATACCCACAGCAAGCAGGTAACCGTGACACAGTGAAGCAAAAAAAAAAAAAGATCACACCAGTAAAAAGAGAAGAATCTTTCAAGGGATATTACATTTTCTTTTTACGTAAGATTGTGTTAGTTACTTACTGGCCAGTCAGAATAGAACTTTTTCTACAGCCTACATTTAGTCAAACAAAACAGAGCTCTGCTGCACACAATTCTAAAATGTACCCAATACATATTATTTAATAGCCAATATATCCCATTTTAACATATAGGTCAGTTTGGGGGACTCATGACTGGGCCCCAACCAGGCATGCCAGGGGGCTTCCCTGGCGCACCAGGCGGACTGGCTGGACCACCTCAAAAGAAACTGGACCCTGACTCTATCCCCAGCATAGTGAGTGGACGGCTAATCCTCCTGAGACCGCATACCACCAACATACCACATCTCTGTCTTGGCTTTTTGTCAGCTTATTAATTCCTCAAAAGGTGTTTGTTAAAGGCTTGTGCGTGTTCTCTTTTTGATTGTGCTGTAATGCATAACTTGTCTGCTTTAGACTCAAGTCATCGAGGATGACCAAGTAAAACGAGGGGGACAAGTCTACAGCACAAACATCAGAGGACAGGTTCCACCTCTGGTCACCACCGACTTCACAGTACAGGACCAAGGTAACTCCTAATGACATTTAAACATCTCTCCAATCACAAAATATTTTGTAGTAGATGCCAATTTATAGCAAATTTAGGTGAGCATCCAATTATAACTATTAAAACTGTTTTTTAAAACGTTTTCCTACAATTTCTACATTGTCTACAGCATGTAGACTTGTTGTTGTGCACATCGAGTTCAGTAACTTGTTTCTGTCATTTTTGGTATGTACTTAATAATTCATAGGCTTTTGCTTAAAATGTAGACATTTCTTTGAGACATCGACTCTTTCTGGCAATCGTAAATCAAACATGGAGGCGTACAGTTCACACTTCTAACAATGGTAACAGAAATGTGCTCCGTCATAATATTGACGTCATTGAGCCTTCTGTTTGCTAATCCCAGGCAATGCCAGTCCCAGGTTCATGCGCTGCACCACCTACTCCCTGCCCTGCACTGCCGATCTGGCCAAACAGTGCCAAGTGCCCCTGGCCTGCATCGTAAAACCCTTTGCCAATTTGCCAAAGAACGAGGTAAGTCATGGTTCATCTGTAACAAAGCCAGTTGCTCCATCTAAAAATAACATGAACAATACATAATGACCTGCTAACATAAACAAACAAAAAAAGAGAGGAAAACTGAATACATTTGTTGTGGCTTTGCTGTGAAAAAGCATGTTTTCAGGTGGGCTGTGAGTCCAACTCTTGCAGGGAATGATACATGCTAACAGACACCAGTGTCTCACACAGATTGAGAATTTATTCTTGGTAGTCGGCCTTGTGTTGGGAAGCATCCATCACTTGAGTAGGCTGTGACACAGCACTGTGTCCAGAGTTTTGTTGATAGTTTTCCCACTCTGTATGTTGACACATTGACACATCATACATATGTTCAATCAGTCTGTACTTTCCATACGGACTTTTCAAAAGGAATAAAACTCCTACAATACAAAATAATCTTCTTTGGTGGGCCAAAATTCTATAAATAGGAAACATTGCATGCAACACAATTCATCCCACACCAAAGCAATTCTATCCCCAGAGTGCAATGTGTTTTCTAAATGCTGTATACTGTCATTTCAAGAATGACAAATGACACTTACAGGAACACTTGTGGGAGACTCTGTTTTTCTGGAGTAGGAACGCATGATAATTGCATTTCTGGTGGAGGTTTTTAGATCTATGTTACATTCTTAGCAAGTTAAGGCCCTAGTTGAGATACATGGTTTTGTTTACGAATTCCATCTGTGGTATTTACTTGTAGGATAGAGAATTTAGGACATCTACTATTTATTTCTAAAAGATTTAAAACAAATAAAAGCTACTTTTGAGTACGCACCCACCGAATTGTCTTGATAGGATGTCTCTGTGTACTACACAAGTTAGGTTGTCCTGTGAATGACCTCTTTTTGGATCATATGTGGTCCAACAATCCTGCCGAAGATATTTTCCTCCTCCACTGGCCTCGTCCCAGCTGTCCGTTGGCCTTTTTAGGCAATGTTAGCTTTCTCTCATCTGGCTTTAGGCTAATTAACTAATGTCAGATCTGCAGGGACAAGATGTAAAACAATCCGAGTATGTTGCACTCAGGTTGTTTTACATCTAGTACAACATGGAGCATATTCACACTTCAATTCCATTAAAATCGTAAACCTTAATCAATGCTCTGAGTTTGTACATTACTCAAAAGGGCATGTTGTACTTGGAAGCTGTATGCATTGTTCTGTCATCCACAGGTTTTGTTCTCGGCACTAAACAGCTCTAAGATTAATGTAAACACTTCTGCTCTCCACCTTGAAGTATACAGTCTAATAATACACCTACTTGCTCCCTTGTTTGTATGTGTTTTATGGTAGTCGAGTTCATTTTGAAGCAAACTTTTTCAATTTAGCCTGCCGGGAGTCTTAAATAAATAGCGATGAGACAGTTTCCATCTGCAGGATGCATATGATACACAGTAACAGTGCTGTGGTATGTATATTAAACAGCTTTATGCTAAGCCTTTACATTCCTTGTAAGACAAATGTTCTGTCTATGAAAGTGCAATGTGTATCGTTTGGCTGGCATGGAATCACAGATGCTTCAGACAGATCGGAATTTACATTGGTGTACTGTACAGCATGTGTACGAGTATGATCTAAATACAGTAAATTCTGCATTACTTAAACATCATCGCCCTTTTAAGGCAAAGATTTTGAATGCAAGGGCTAGCTGTTCACCATAATGTCTTTTTGTGTGTGTGTGTCCCTGTATAGACTCCTCTATATGTTGTGAACCATGGTGAGACGGGCCCAATCCGCTGCAATCGATGCAAGGCCTACATGTGTCCCTACATGCAGTTCATTGATGGGGGGCGTCGCTACCAGTGTGGTTTCTGCAACTGTGTCAATGAAGGTAGAGTACAATGCAGAACACGTTAAGCAGCCAGAAAAAGATCCATCAAGTTATTTCATGTATTTGAAAGAAAAGGAAAACAGGTGAATGTTAAACTATGAATATACTGTTCATAGGTCAATACTTAATCATATTGCTTTGTGTTACCGTAGTGCCGGTCTTCTATTTCCAACATCTGGACCACATGGGCCGGAGGGTGGACTTCTATGAGAGGCCTGAGCTGTCCCTGGGATCCTACGAATTTGTAGCCACCCTGGACTACTGCAAGGTACAGGAAAACTCCTAAAGATCTATCAACTACTGTCCAATGCAGACCATGCAGAGTGGATTACGTTCATTAATAGAGACAAGCCCTTGAATTGATGGATGTATGCTGGTGTAAAGCAGACTTAATGCATAGATTTGACACTAAACTAAAAGCTATGTCACTTGAAAGGTTCTCGCATAAGTCTGTTTCCGATGGTCTAACGCCTGCATCCACAGAATTGCATTATTGACGTTTCTGAGGGACCTTTTGGCACTCTACATTATTCATCATGAGCTGCTTATCAAAACTGATGACGTGACAGTGTGCAACTCAAGTTGTTTCGCAAACAATTGAAAGACAGCAATGCCAATCAAGTTCACGTCCCCATGGAGGCTGTGGCTGTTAAGAACAACAGAGTGAGCTGGCAAAGCTGAGTCACTTCACTGGCCTACTTTTGCTCTGTTTATTAAGACTTATAAACAGCCTCTGCAGGGCAGCTCTTAAACAAACGCCTGCAAGGTTGTTACTGTGGAAATATAACAATGTCTTACCGACAGTCCACCTCACACACACACACTTTCATTGCCTTCTATTCAGGAGTTTATAACTGTCTTGGTCTCCTCACCGCCACTCCAAAGTTATAAGCAAGCACCAACGGAAACTAAATCTCCAATATTTGAGAATTAATAACAGAAACGGGAGGTGGAAGGCTGACGGGCAGGCCCCAGGTTCAGGGCCTCTGTTAATATGGTATATGCGTAAGACCTTAAATCAGAAGACACCGGACTGAAAAGAGGAATGTTTTTTAGTTTATTCAGGAGCTTAAGAACATTTTTCTTCATTTACTTTTCTAATCGGGTCATTTTATGCCGCATGCCTATCATGCCATGTTAGCTTGAGAAGATTTCAAAATTGCAGCTAATTCATTTCTCCTGCTGCCTTCTTCTCACACAGAACAACAAGCCTCCGAATCCTCCTGCCTACATCTTTATGATCGACGTGTCCTATAACAACATTAAAAGTGGACTGGTCAAGCTGATATGTGATGAGCTGAAGACTCTACTGGAGAATCTGCCCAGGTACATGCAAATACATCAGGAAAACACTCAAACATGGTCACACAGTACAGATAGGAATGTAACATGCATCATCTGCTACATTAGGTGCTTCTATACCGAGGATAGGATGATGCACTTCACCTGGTTACTCCTAAAATAACTTTTCTTTTCTCTGCGTCATTAGTGCCAAAAGCAATACATTCACATGTCTGCTGCCATGACATCATCCCTAAAATACTAAACAGAAGGGTACTCCAGATAAGCCCCCTTGACTTCACTCGGCACTAAATAAAGCATTTGGACATGCATTTTCATGTAATTCTGCAGTATTTGCCAAATGTGTTTAATTCACTCAAGATAAGCTGGAGCCCAGTTTAAGTAAATGCAGATGTGGACGTACCGTAGACTTTTTTTTTTTTTTTTTTATCATCGTCACTGGTAGTTTTTAATCACTGTCTGGTGGTATGAGAAATAAACTCATCCAATCTGAATCGTTCTTTCCAACAGCACCTGTAACCTCCGCTCAGAGAGAAGCTGTGGGCTCAGAGTTGACCAGTGGCATATTTACTTTTTCAGCAACTGTTTCAAGCCACACTACATGTTCCTCAGTGTGTCTGCATGATTTAAGAAGAGGGAATTACAAGCTGCAGTTGGCAGTGTCATTAAAGAATGCTTTTAAATTAATGTGATGTTGAAAGGTTTTGATATATGGTTTTAAGATAGTGACCACATCGCAATTCAGAATGTTCTGATAAATGTCAGGGGGTTTCAAGTAATAAATTAATAGGAACTTTATTTTCAATTATGCAGTTCTTTCAAAGAAGAGTATACAGTTGTGTGAAAAGTGTTTGCCCCCTTCCTGATTTCTTATTTTTTTGCATGTTTGTCACACTTAAATGTTTCAGATCATCAAACAAATTTAAATATTAGACAAAGATAACACAAGTAAACACAAAATGCAGTTTTTAAATGAAGGTTTTTATTATTAAGGGGGAAAAAATCCAAACCTACATGGCCCTGTGTGAAAAAGTGATTGCCCCCCCCGTTAAAACATAAATTAACTGTGGTTTATCACATCTTTGGAAAGCTGAGTTCAATTTCTCTAGCCACACCCAGGCCTGATTACTGCCACACCTGTTCTCAATCAAGAAATAACTTAAATAGGACCTGCCTGACAAAGTGAGGTAGACCAAAAGATCCTCAAAAGCTAGACATCATGCTGCGATCCAAAGAAATTCAGGAACAAATGAGAAACAAAGTAATTGAGATCTATCAGTCTGGAAAAGGTTACAAAGCCATTTCTAAAGCTTTGGGACTCCAGCGAACCACAATGAGAGCCATTATCCACAAATGGCGAAAACATGGAACAGTGGTGAACCTTCCCAGGAATGGCCGGCCGACCAAAATTACCCCAAGAGCGCAGCAACGACTCATCCAAGAGGTCACAAAAGACCCCAGAACAACATCCAAAGAACTGCAGGCCTCACTTGCCTCAATTAAGGTCAGTGTTCATGACTCCACCATAAGAAAGAGACTGGGCAAAAATGGCCTGCATGGCAGAGTTCCAAGACGAAAACCACTGCTGAGCAAAAAGAACATAAAGGCTCGTCTCAGTTTTGCCAGAAAACATCTTGATGATCCCCAAGACTTTTGGGAAAATACTCTGCGGACTGACGAGACAAAAGTTGAACTTTTTGGAAGGTGTATGTCCCATTACATCTGGCGTAACAGTAACACGGCATTTCAGAAAAGGAACATCATACCAACAGTAAAATATGGTGGTGGTAGTGTGATGGTCTGGGGCTGTTTTGCTGCTTCAGGACCTAGAAGACTTGCTGTGGTAAATGGAACCATGAATTCTGCTGTCTACCAAAAAATCCTGAAGGAGAATGTCCGGCCAGCTGTTCGTGACCTCAAGCTGAAGCGCACTTGGGTTCTGCAGCAGGACAATGATCCAAAACACACCAGCAAGTCCACCTCTGAATGGCTTAAGAAAAACCAAATGAAGACTTTGGAGTGGCCGAGTCAAAGTCCCGACCTGAATCCGATTGAGATGCTGTGGCATGACCTTAAAAAGGCGGTTCATGCTCGAAAACCCTCCAATGTGGCTGAATTACAACAATTCTGCAAAGATGAGTGGGCCAAAATTCTTCTACAGCGCTGTAAAAGACTCATTGCCAGTTTTCGCAAACGCTTGATTGCAGTTGTTGCTGCCGAGGGTGGCCCAACCAGTTATTAGGTTTAGGGGGCAATCACTTTTTCACACAGGGCCATGTAGGTTTGGATTTTTTTCCCCTTAATAATAAAAACCTTCATTTAAAAACTGCATTTTGTGTTTACTTGTGTTATCTTTGTCTAATATTTAAATTTGTTTGATGATCTGAAACATTTAAGTGTGACAAACATGCAAAAAAATAAGAAATCAGGAAGGGGGCAAACACTTTTTCACACAACTGTATGTTCCCTATAAGTATTCCCAACATGTAACGTAGTGCTTTCCAGAAAACCTCCGAGGAAATTATTTGGAAAATACAGACATGCCAAACAATGTATTACCCTCTTATTAAAAGAAGTCATTTGATTGTTGTAAACGTGACAGCTGCACACATGCAGCTATTGTTAATACCATTTCAACTGACTTACTAGAAACATCCAGGAATTTACCGAGGCCTGTTCTCTCTCTCTCTCTCACAGTGAGGAAGGTATGGAGTGCTCCGCCATCAAGGTTGGCTTTGTCACCTACAACAAGGTCCTCCACTTCTACAACGTGAAGAGCGCTCTGGCCCAGCCCCAGATGATGGTGGTTTCAGACACAGCGGAGATGTTTGTTCCGCTGCTCGATGGCTTCCTCGTCAACTATCAGGACTCGAGGGCCGTCATCTACAAGTAAGATACAACGTGTCATTCACAAGGCAGTGAGAACAATGTGACATGTCAATTATGACCAAACCCTAATCATGTCTCTCTCCTCTCCAGCCTCCTGGACCAAATCCCTGATATGTTTGCAGACACCAACGAGAGTGAAACGGTCTTTGTTCCCGTCATCCAGGCCGGCGTGGAGGCATTCAAGGTTAGCCGCAGTGTGACATCTGTCAACATGAAGTGGGAGGCCAGGGGCCTACTGCAACCTCCCCGAGTCATGCCTGGCTGTTGTAGCTTTGCATAGAGACTATTGGGCTTGGGAAGGAAAAGATCATACGTCATTAGCTTCCTATTTAATAAGCCACATTTGATTAGCAGCAGTGTCATCTAACATGCTGGTCCTCTGTATCTTTTGGTAAGTTTATGACTGTACTGATGGATTCCAATTACATGTTTTTTATTCCTGATATGTTTGTGTTTACTTTCAAGTCCAAAAACCGTTCCCAGTAAAATGAGGTCATTGTTTTGGCGCACAGTAAAGGAAAAGTTCACACACAGCTTTTAATTGGAAGCAGCTGTGGCAATACACAACAGCAAACCGCAAAGAGTTTGGGTATTGCTTACGTCTTTATCTTTTCGTCGTCAGTTTATTTTGCAATCTCTCTTAAAAATAAAGTTTATTGTTATTATTATTAGGATAATCTAATCCTCTGCAGAAGTGGAATCTTGCACCTTGTGTCATTGTAAAGCTATAAACACACCATCAAGGAACACACCTTCTTGTGATATTCTGTTGGAGATCTTATCCATTATTCTCTCCCCTCCAGGCAGCAGAATGTAGCGGAAAGCTCTTCATCTTCCAGTCCTCCATGCCCACTGCTGAGGCTCCTGGCAAACTGAAGAACAGGGATGACAAAAAGCTGGTCAACACCGACAAAGAGAAAGTGAGTCGCTTTTTGTGAACTTATATTTTACAACTTATTCTAAACACCAAATAGAGACTGCTGGCAGTTTAAGATTGAGTAAAGCATAGAAACTCACCTGCATGAGTGGAGACTTATCCAAAAATACTTTTTATTTTTATTTTTATTTTTTTTTTTCTTAGACCCTGTTCCAGCCTCAGAAAGGAGTGTATGAGCAGCTGTCTAAGGAGTGTGTGGCACAGGGCTGCTGTGTGGATCTCTTCCTCTTTCCAAGCCAGTACATGGACATTGCAACTATGGCAGATGTGCCCTCGCACACCGGAGGCTCCGTCTACAAGTACAACAACTTCCAGGCAAGCACACCTGTTTACAGTCTGTTCAGGCCACTTAAAACGTATGCAAAGATGCTGCAAGCAAGCCACATAAAGGATATGGACAGTGATGCAAAACTAGCAAGTCATATATTTGGTGCAGTACCCACAGTGTATTATTGACCTGTCCCATAGGAATGCTGCAACAAGCGTGGGAAAGAACTTTCTCAAACTGTACAAACACACCACATACAAAGGCAGTACAATGTAATTTAACACAGATGGACAATATCTATAATAAATAGGTTTATAATAACAGTACAATGTAGCCGTTTAACACAAAACAGTACAGCATTTTACCATTAAAAAAATAAAGTAATTCAGTGTGGTAGAAACACTTTGTTGTTCATTTTGGCCCAAGCCGACATTTCAGTAAATCATCTCTCTGTATTAGACAAAATGAGTCCAAGGCTTATTGTCATTGGCGTGGGACCAATTTTGTGACATTACTGCCATCTGCTGGTTAAAACCATTACTAAGATTTGCTGCTGACTCAAATATACTCAATGTTGTCAGGTGGAGATCGACGGGGAGCATTTCCTGAGAGACCTCAGAAAAGACGTGCAGAAGAGCATCGGATTTGATGCCATCATGCGTGTTCGTACCAGTACAGGTAAGGAATAGTCTTTAGAGACTTTGCATTTGGTACGTGATCAGCGAGAGTTGCCTCTCAGTAATCTACACTACTGTGCATGTCTGCCCTCAGGTTTCAGAGCCACAGAGTTCTTTGGTGCCGTCCATATGAACAACACCACAGATATCGAGATGGCAGCTGTGGATTGTGATAAGGCACTGACCGTAGAGTTCAAACATGACGACACGCTCAGTGAGGAGACTGGGGCTCTAATGCAGGTAGGTGTCTTTGTTTGAAACCCCCCTCCACCCAAAAAAAACCCCACGTTTGCCGTTTGGTCAGGAGATAAATCCTCACGGTTTGGTCATAACTAATGTTTGGACTCTGTTTCCCAGTGTGCCTTGCTGTACACCACCATCAATGGACAGCGACGTCTCCGCGTCCACAACCTCAGTCTGAACTGCAGCTTGCAGTTGTCGGAGTTGTACAAGAGCTGCGAGACCGACTCACTCATCAACTTCTTTGCTAAATCAGGTGACTGTCCTTGTATACGTCTCTGGACTGACATTCTTATCGATCTCATCCACACTTACAGCTTCATTTTATCTTTTAAGTTTGCACTTAAAGCACACATTTTAACACTAGCCAAATGCAGAAAATATGCATTTTTCCTCCCATGACTTGTAAACAGTAAATTATTTCATGAGGGAGTCATTCCATACAGTCGGCTTTCTTTTTTGAGGGTGTCATGTAGTGCAGACGTAGCCTGCTGATGTACCGTTGTTGAATTTACCCCATGCATCACTTGATAATCTACTAATACCCACAGACTTACAGGTAAAAGAAGAATGAGTAATGGAAATGAGGACCACATGTTTCAGATAAAGTACAGATGACAATGAGCCTTTATGTAATCCGCACATAGTGAGCCCTAAGAACAGCTGTATTACTGGCCTTCAGTTGCCTTCTTTCATTTGTCCGGCTACTCTTCAACTCCCTCGTGCGCTCTCTTCCCCTGCTCGATTTCTTTCATCCTTTGTGTTTTACTCCCCTACGTATCCTAAGCTGCCAGTTAGGCCCGTTGGTTCCTCTCCTCCCTGGTCTTTTAACTTACCTTTTCTCATGCCCACTCAGCTTGCCGTGCCATGTTGAACCAGCCTCTGAAGAGTGTGAGGGAGATCCTGGTCAACCAGACAGCCCACATGCTGGCCTGCTACAGGAAGAACTGTGCCAGCCCCTCCGCTGCCAGCCAGGTCAGTGCAGGGCAGCAACTGGATTGAAATTTTTTGTATTAAGGTTTTCATTTTAGGATACAAAGAACTCTTATGTACATTACATATGTGATACAATTAATATCTGCGACCACAACCTTTATTATACATCCATCTCTCAGAAAGTAATCATGTTTTCATGCCTGTATCCATACATAGCTGATCCTGCCTGATGCCATGAAGGTGTTTCCGGTCTACATGAACAGCCTGATGAAAACTGCTCCCATGGTCGGCAGCACAGAGCTCTCAACAGATGACAGAGCCCATCAAAGGCTGTTGATCATGGGCATGGGGGTGGAGGACACACGGCTGCTGCTCTACCCACGCCTCACTCCACTGGTACAGGAAAACCCTACATGCACACAGTGCAGCGCACAGTAACTTTCGTGGGACACGATCAATTACACTGTTGAGACAAATCATTTGTACATGTAGCGTGTATATATCTAATATCAGATAATGTTTTCATCCAATGCATTTGTTGTTGTTTTTAGCACAACATGGACGTTAGCACCGAGACTGTGCCTGCTCCAGTGCGCTGCTCGGAGGAGCGTCTGACAGACGCTGGCATGTTCCTGCTGGAGAACGGCCACTCCATGTTTCTGTGGCTGGGCCAAGCGATCCCTCCAGATCTCATCCAGAGCATCTTCAACCTGCCCTCCCTCGCCCACCTGCAAGGACACGTGGTCAGAATTGATTTATTAGCATTTCCACCTCAACATATTTATAAACCAAATAAAAAGTTTACTTTTAGAGAGATTAGATGAGACATTTCTTACCTTTTTGGTGCCTGTATACATTACACGTGGGAGAATGTCTGGCTGTTCGGTTGGGCAAAATGACAAGTCCACTTGTGAGACACTTCACAACTCAAATTTAATTCATAATAAATCTTCCATCCGACAATGATTTTAATCCAAATAAAATCAACTCAGCAAGTTTAAACTGAAATGAGCCAACATTATTACAACACAAAGTTAAATCATGTGTCATGGTAGAGCTCAAACAACACTGGTACTTAAGAGAAGGACGAATCAGGGACGGCAAAAAGTAGGCAGTATTATTATTTCTAGCAAAAAGTGATCTCAACTTATTGAATCAAGGCTGTTTGTTTACCATCCTCCAATCAGTACATCATGATGTTCTTTGATACCTCCAAGGACAACACGTTGCACTAGTACCAGTGACTCATTAACCCTCATTTTAGACTAAACCAACCTTGTAATGTTGTTTCCAGTGTGCGCTGCCAGAACTGGACAACCCATTGTCAAACAAGGTCCGATCCATCATCAATGGCCTGATCGAAGAGAGGCCGAATTCTATGAAGGTAAGGTACCCAGAGCAGCAACATAGTCTCATGTTTAAAAACAAACTAGCCTTTTTCTAAGAAAATAATGTACAAAATATATTTAAGCTAACTGCCATGCAGCATTTATTGATCTCTGCCTCCCTCTAGTGGAGCTAGTAAGGAAATGTTACTTTTATAACCGCCTTATGTTTCAATATCAACCACTTAATCAAAGTACAACTCAAGAATGTACATTATATTTGTGTAGAAATGAACTGGATAAAATGTTTAGTGTACTTTACATAAGATGGAACATCATTTCTTGAAAAGAAACTAACTATTATATAATTTAAATCTTGTTGGGACATTTTATTGAGTGTCCTCAAGCACTGCAGGCTGTTATTGAGGAGTTAGCATTGGTCATTTAGTTAGAATATCAATACTCTGAATCCATAGAGGACCATGCTATCCCAATCCATCAAATGAAGCAAAATGACATACAAGGAGAAAACAAAGGTCAATGTGCACGTGGAGCACAGCTGGTATTGAAAAATTCATGGAAACCGATCACAATTTGCTTATTTTTTTCCCCTCTCAGCTCCATATCGTGAGGCAGAAAGACAAACCGGAGATGGTGTTCCGTCAGTTCCTGGTGGAGGATAAAGGCCTGCACGGGGGAGCTTCCTACATGGACTTCCTTTGCTACGTTCACAGAGAAATCAGGCAGCTGCTCACCTAACCACCACCCCGACGCTTGGCCTCAGTGTCGACTGGCCTGGGAGGAACACGCCATGGACCATGCACAAACCTCACAGGGTCAGTCTCAGTTGGCTCAATCGTAAGGATGGTCCACAGAAAGAAACTTTCTAAGTGTTTCACAAAGACAGAGGAAGAAAACAGGAAGCAGGGAGAGCCTTTTGAGATTTATCCTTGAGTCCACAGCTGCCTTTCCAACATGCTTTTGTCCCCCTTAAGTGTACACACAGTATGATCTTCAAATAGCCACTTGTCACTTGAAGAACGTCTAAGTAAGACATGGACAACACATCCAGCATTTCCCGCACAGATACTTTGTGTGATGAACTGTGGAGACTGGAATGAGATCAGTGTCTGAGGCTGTAATGCATTTTGGCATAAAGCCCATGGGCATAAGCAATACACCCCATATCTCCACAGGGCAGTCGATTGACTTTGTAGATGTACAGGCTCAGACAAGAGGTTATTTGTGGGCAATACTGTAGATGTTCACTTTGGAACTCAATAAAGCTGGCCAGTCTTTGTTATACATGAGTCTCAATAACTCAATTTAAAATCTTAATATCTTTTTTTAAACAAGTACAGAAATTGTACCATATTTAAATGACTTATAGAGGCTTCCACATTCATATGCGAAATTGACTCAAATAAGCTTACACACAAGTAGTGCATCGACAGCATCAGGTTATTCATAATCTAGCAGAAACATCGCAGCAGCTGCCAGGACTGAAAATAATTCCTGTCATCACGCCATGAGTGATCCAAAGCATTCGAGTCGCACATAACCCCCCCCCCCCCCCCAAAACTAAACAAAGATTTGGATTTTCTGACCATTTATAGCAGAGACTCGGTCTCTGTGACGCAGAAAACAGTTTGGTGTTCTACTGTGAAATGATCACAGCTGTTTACATAGAGAGCAAGGACAAACTCGCATGTCCTGATGAAAAATTACACTTTCGCGAGTCAGAATTTAAAAAGGGATGCATAAGGGAACGGATTTCTAATGATGCCGTGAGCGAGAGACATCAGCGGAAAGCAGTTTAGGGACCAAATATAAAGCTTCTCCTTAAAACTGCCACAAAAAAATAATGTTGGGAGTGATTCACTTTGGGAAATACTTTCCAGCAAGCTCCAACAATGCCATATTATGACAATACAACCACCAGTCACTATTGGACTATCAGATCTGTGTCTGCTCACTCTTCAACCCAAATTCAGTCAAATCTTTTTACACTAATAAATATAATCTGCATCATTTTCCATAATATTTAACATTCGAGTCTTGTGTACAGCAATAGCATCGTACTGCATTGCTGGTTTTTATTGATGATTGTAACTCGTGTCTGCATTTGATATACATTGTACGATTCTTTGTGCGTGTGTGAGGCTCAAAGTATTTTTGTACATGAAATACACGTGTTTTTTCAAAATATTGCCATCTGCCTTAAGTTGATATGATAGTTGTAAAAACATACACGAAAGTATATGTCTGAGATGTCTTTGGCTGATTTCAATCGTTTTAGTTTGTATGCAAACTGATCTCAGGTAATTTGGGTACCTTATTAAAGTTGGAAGAAGTGATTTCAATATAACTGGAAAGATGGCCGGTTGTTTTTTTTTTTTTTAGCATCAGTACCGATGGACGTCAATGGGTTTGGTCTGCCATGTATATTTTTTCCAAACCCTTAACGATGTTTTGCTTGTACAGTACAGAAAATTCAGCCGATTAAGAATTTCTTTAAGAACATGTTTGTCAAAATATTAAAACACAGAAAACCCACCAGGTGACATGTATGTTGATTTCAAAAAAAATATATTCAATGTGAAATTGAATTGACATAATTCAACGCAAGCTAGAATTACAGTCTGTATTGAAGGTAGCACTAATCAAAATGTACACATTCAGTCTGCTGATTGGTGGTCACGTTCCTATAAGTGAGAAATCTACTGTGCAGCATAAAATTACACAAAAATGACTCCAGACACAAGTACAAGGACACGAGAATCAATACACACACACACAGCCAATAATATTCATTTTGTTTCTTATTTCATTAACCTTAATCCAGTCCAGGGGGCAAAAGGTATTTTTGTACCAGTGTGTGTTATCCACTTGCCACCATGAGGGGGCGTCACATGAATATTATGCTTTTTGATCCCCAATGTGATCTGTTTATGTTGGACAATAAAAGTACTTCTTACCATAATCGTGAACAGATGCTGGTTTATAAAACATGCACAATGAGATATTACAGTATAGATATCGATGTCAGTCTCTCAAAGATAGAACTCCTCTCAGACGTCTAACGAGCACGGAATAGAAAGATTTGTTTCTTGCTAAATTCCACTTTTACACACGCATGTAAACAATACATGTTAATAAAGGCTCTACAATACTAAAGTAATTTAACACATTTGAAAGTTTCAGGTGTATAGTTTATTTTTTTCACTTTCGTCAGAGATAGCGGACTTTGGATATTATGTACAGAAGAAATGTAGAAATAAACACGTCTACATCCACCGGGATACATTGTAGATATGCTAAGAAGTGGGTAAGTATCCATTGTATCAGTAGCGTTTCATAATCATATTGCTGAGACAAAATAAAGATTTGTCAAACAGAAAAGGAACATTTGTACAAACAGTAAGGCACACAAACACAAATCAAGGAAAAATACAGATCATGAGTAAAAAAAAAAAAAAAAATTTGTATTTATCATTCTCATTACTAAACTAATGACCAGCATGCCTCGCTAAGGAGATTTGTTTATGTTTGTGATACTGTGTGAACACTTGATAATCTGTTAAATGCTGCAAAGTATTCACCACAAATCCAAACTATTCCAAAGTGTATATCAGATTTCCGGCTGGTTTGATGGATACTTCCTGTACCCGACATCCAAGTCTTTGTGAAAAAGAAGAAGAGAAAAAGTCAGTAACTTACTTACATAATGTTCAGACACTTCAGTGATCCAGTAGATTCCAACAAGCAACACGAAGTCCCGTAAGTGAGACTTGTACCCAGCATGCCTGGTGTTTGATCACATTTGAGGCCAAGCAAGCAAAGCTTTAATCACATACAGCAGGAGCCAATCAGGCTGAATCGGTGTGGGCGGGCCTTTGGCCCACAGGACGAGGACGAGGAGGAAAACAGCAGGAAGAGTATTAGCCGACAACCCCAAAAATATGAGTATAATACAAAGTTACAGAGTTTGTATCACCAATCAAACCCCACTGCCCTTTCTTTTTAAAAACAGTGAATTATATGAACAAATCTAAAGACCTGAAATTCACCAGAGAGCAAACTTTCATTTAATACTGTACAAGCAACAATCTTTTGTACAATGACCATAATACCATATAAATAACCTCAAACACTGCTCTTAGCGTAACCTCCTGAACAGTGTTCCAAAAACAAAAATAAAAACATATTCATAGATGGTTTGCTTTACAGAGAATATACATACATAGGGTCAAATGAAATGCACTGAAAGCAGCATTTATCTTATGACAAAAAGATCGTCGTCTAATGTTATACTCGTGGTAAATATCGCTACCTGTGTGCTTCTGTAGATCAACCATCGATTTTATGGTCCAATTTTGACATCAATACAATCCTTGTGTTGTCTCATTCTAGTTGGCAAGTAAACATGAACAAAGTTGTAGAGTTTCTCATAGAGTTCTAATGCTTTATCAATGGTATATACAATTGAAAATGGTCAAATGTATGTTGTCTTTTTCTCTAAATGCTTCGTTGAAAGAGCAAAAAGACAGACCACAACAGTTAAGTAAGTTGGGGTAAGAACACTCTGGAATCGAGAGCACAGTCCGGAATGTGAAATCAGAGAGGGGTGTGAAGTTACCGTATATATTTTGCTCTTATTCTTTATGCTGTATAAAGTCACAGTGATTTTACTTGGCAGTAAATAAAACAAGTCAAGGCTGCAACAGAGTGAGAGGCGTCCTGTTTAAAGCGCTTCATCACAAATCTCCCCCGAGTGTTCATAACGTTGGAGGCTAATGCACTTTGCAGCACTCGCTGTTCAGCAAAGAGAAAGACACTCCAGAGACAAATGGTAGAAATCAACATTGACGTTAAGATGTTTTCATTTTGAAAATTAAACCAAAAACACCCTTTCCCCCCCCCCCCTCTCCTTTCTATTCATTGTCATATAATACAGTTCAACGATTTATTTACTAAAATGTTCAAAAGGCAACTCATTCCAGAGGGTTCGCACCGTATTGCCGACTCCTACTTGTGGCCCACAGTAATGAACAATATTATATACATGATCAAAAGTCTGCATAGCAACACTGTACACAGTTAGGAGTCCAAGTTGGGCCGAGCTTAAGATGACATTCTCTTCCAAAGCCTCCACACTCAGCCAAAAGTTAAAGAACGTTTTCAAAGAGGTGCATCGATCGCATGATGTTTTCATCCTGCGCAAGAGAGACAACGTAATGAGAAAAAGCAAGTGTGCCAACAAGCAGTGAAAGAGATGCGTCGGGATATCCAGCTTACATTTTGGCAGCAGTCGATAAACTCGTCGATGGTCACCACTCCGTCTTTATTCTTGTCCATCTTCTGTTGGAGACGGAGAGAAGCAGAGATGAAAAACAGCCTCTCTTTACTGGGACACTAAGGGTGCAGGGAGGGCTGCCAGTGACACACTTGCCTGAAAGAATACTTCTACATGCTGACGCGGCGCCTCTTCTTTGAGGACAGGGTATGTGCATTTTCCCATCATGTCGTAGATGGCCTTCATGATGTCCAGCATTTCCTGCAACACACAGAAAAGGGTCAATCCACCCAAATTACAAGAAAAGTGAATTCCACATTTACCCCTAATCGGCAGCAGTGCAGATCATTTTGGTTTCGCGTGCCTGACATTTTGAGGACAACTTGATTGAGGACCAACATATTTTCAAGGTGGATATTTGGGTATTCCAGTGATCGTCTCATGGCATTTCACTGCTGATACAGTTTAAAGGGGACACACCTCTTTAGTGATGTATCCATCTTTATTGATGTCATACAGGTTGAAAGCCCAGTTGAGTTTTTCCTGGATGGTGCCACGCAGGAGGATGGAAAGGCCCATGACAAAATCCTGCAGTGAGAAAAAGATTCACGGAGAATTGTATTAAATACACAGATTCAAAAACTATCTTTTTGTCAACAAGACATATTTGAAAACCTATGAGGTAAACAAAAACATTCCATGTACAAATATTCACCATGCACATTACACGTAGGTCGTATTTCAGCCAATTTCACGCATCAACATTTCTGCAAGGATATGATGTCACGTATTAATTAGAAGAAATCAGAAACACCTCGTTATTCAAGTTATTAACCGTCTCGTAATCTGTGTCGATCTGTGACAATGCTTCTTTAGTTTAGGAATATAATTATGACAGTACTTGGCTTACCTCAAAACTCACAGAGCCATTGTGATCCGTGTCAAATGCATTGAACAAGAAATGCGCGTACGTTGAAGCATCTACGGAGAGAAGAAATGAAATCAAAAAAAAACAATCCGCCGCTCAATCGACAACAGCAGAAACACCTACTGCAGAACAGAACAACGGTTCAAAGGAAAGTTTTGTAGCTTTTATGGACAACTTCAAAGAATCAGAATGTATATGTTCCCTCATGATGAGAGAGAAAAACAATATGCTGAGAGCTAAGACTTGTGACTCCTCTTTGGTGAGCCATTATATTTACTGGTCTGCCTTTCCTCTCTCTGAACAGATATATCAAAACCTCCTAATGTTTTCTGTCTTGTTCCTCGGGTAGAATCTTTGCATAATGATGAGAGCAAACAGTGAGCAACTCCAGCCTGCATATTAAATACAAAACTACTTTCTCCCTCTCGCACACATTTTCTTGGATGGAGGTTTAGCTTAAAAGTACTCTGGAAGTGGTGCAATTGTTCTAAACATGAGTGAAAGGCAATTTGTGTCTAACACACAGGAGGTGGTAAGAAGCAGCAACACAAGCTGTACAAAACAAAGCAGTAGGCTCACATGACACAAACCTCCTTGCGGGAAAAACTGTGCGTAGATCTCTTTAAAGGTTTCTTCGTTGACTATTCCGCTGGGGCATTCCTGAAAGACAAAATGGAATTGCAAAGGCCATTCAGCATCTATGTTAAAGACTCCCACTTATATTAAAGTCCTTGCTTTAGATCTGAGTTAAGACGTGCCAATCATGGTCCAATATACAACTTACACAAGTGTGACTGACACTTGGCACTTCCAGTGCACATACTTTACTGAAAAGTCAATTTTCACTGTAGAAGGAGACATCTTGTATTCAGTGATTACTTTTGTAAAATAAGCAATAATTGATTCTAGATTTTTGAATGTAAAAAAACAATTTACATTTTTTTTCAATATGCCTTAAAATATTTAAGAGGTTGAACATAAGCCAGCCTTCTAATCTGGCCAAACATTACCTCAGTATTTTCTTTAAGTATATTAAATTAGATGACAAAATGTAATATTTAAAGAGCAACTTAACAGTAGCTGCAAATCTGGTTTTTGCTGACCTATAGTGGTTAGACTTATTAGGGTCCTTTTAAATTTGTGATGCAGAAGTGTACTCCAGGATGTGTCAAGTACACTGTGACATCACTGTTGGGTTCAACAGACCTGCATTTTTCAACCAGAGAGGGCAGTGTAACACCGTCTTTCCGAATTAATGTTAAGTTACTCTTTAACTTCAAATTAATAAATGAGTTGCTAGTTTATCTCTGGATCATTATATGTATCCGTCTATGGTGGAAATATGCATTTAGACGAGCAATATTTTATTCTTTCAAGGACACATCATTCTATTTTCTTCCTAACCTTTGTTTTCTCAGACATTCTGTAATAGGTAAAGGCTCATGTTCAATGTGGTGGTATTCAAACTGCAAACCATCCAAGCCTCAATATTTATCTTGTCCGCAGTCATTCAGTGTCACCCACCTGTGGTTGTCTGTCTTCAGTAGAAAAAAGCCTGAATACATAACACCTCCAAGAAGGATGCTTTTGTCTCCTTTAAATGAAAAGGAGCTAACCAAAGACTCAGTGGATGACCTTGCTCAGGGCAGCGTGGTGATAACGGCAGCTAGTTTTGCCAGTTCAATTTCTGCTTGGTGTGAGGCTGCACACTGTTCCAAAGATTCAATATCCTGCAGCAGAGGAAATGCTCCACCTATATAGACAATATCCAAACGGGAAGGCTTTCTATACAAGACAATAAACCACATATATAGTGGAGGTTGTTGTAGGAAATCAAAGATAAGGAACATACTGTTTATAGGATGGATACAAAAACTTGAAAACCTCTCTGATACAACTTCAACAGAAATGAAACAGCCAGAAAATAAAGAAAAATACTTGTGCCGTTCATTTTCTATATCTTTATGAGAATTAAATGTCTGAATTTAAAGAGTCAAGAGAGTTTCCTAGAGCCAGTTATGTGCTATTTCACTGGGATGATGGGAATGTTTGAGACAAACTAAGGAGAGAGGACAGTGGGGATGAAAATATAAAGATGAAACACTGTTGTCTCGCTCATTGTGTTTCAAGAGGATGCTGCGAGGTTGTCTAAATGATTCCCCGACACTCTTCTTCCGTTGTCTCACAGACCCGGTTACATATCTTGTCGGGTGAGGTGAGGTCAAGAATTTGGGGGAAGTTAGAGAGACAGAACGAGCACAAGTCTGTCTCCATATTGTAGTTTGGCAGTCTGCGACCTGATTTAATGAAGTCGATGAGCCTGTTGAGTGTGTGATGCTGTTCATGTTAAACTAGCATACGATGCAGCATGGGTACAACTTTTCCATGGTGAACGGACTGAGTAGCATTGGAATTATATTGGCTGATTATGGAATGAATTGACAAAACAATTCAAGCTGAGATACTTGATTTTGCCCTTTTTGGATAATATTATTGTGCAAAAAATAGTGCAAGTGCAAACAAATTTTAAGTGAATTGGTCAACTTTTCGCTTTTTTGTTAAGATAATTTGCAGCAAATTAGGGGTGAAATATTTCCTTGAGAAACTCTCGTAACTCAATTACTAAAAATCATCAATTTTTGGCTTGGCTTAATGCTAAGCTAGGCTAACCTTCCAATTAAACAGACAGATATGAGGGGGGTATTGATCTTTTCATCCAACTCCAAGCAAGAAAGCAAATAAGAGTATCTTCCAAAACTTCTCAGTTTACTAAACATATCCGCTCTAAAAGCAAAGTACATTGACATAGAGAAGTATTTCTTTGTTGTTTTGTGGAGCTTCTGTTCATTAGAATGTTGTTTATGATCCACAACACTGCAGTGAATGGGTTGTCAACAGTCAACCATTTGTTGAGGAAGTGCAAGTAGATGTCAAGTAATTAAGGACTTATAGTGGGGCGGGGGAGATTTTTCAAACACATAATTTCCCGTTGCTTGCCTGTGCATGCCTGTGTGTGTGTGTGTGCGTGTGTGTGTGTTTCAACACAGATGTTAATTGCAGCTGTCAACACTAATAACACACTGTTTAAGTGGGGCACTAATATACAAATGGCTGTGTTTCAAGTCAGCTTTTTCTTCCTCTAACCTGGCTAAGTCATCCTCACAAACCTGAAGGAAAATGAACGGTCAGTAAAACTGTGATTGTTGAACTGTGTCTTACACCGACGGCAGAATTCATCTGATCACATTCCATCGTCTCTTTTCAGCCTCGCGATGACATGAGGGAGGGAGGCAAGTTTTTCCATTGAGAACAAAGCCAGCGTGTTATCTAGTTATCATCACGTACAACACCGTGCCCCTGCAATTCAATTTAAAGTTCAGTGAAATAGTTACACTCACTCAATGCCTGAACTGCCCTAAGGTCCCGCCAGGATAGCTAAAAGTCAGGGCCTCATTCACACTGTTCTCTACATGAGTCAATAATATTGAGCTTTTGGGAAAACCGTTTCCTTTTAATACATTTTTCTCTGCATCAGTGAAGCACTGACAGAAGAATAAATTACTTATTAATTTACATTTGGATATTTTACATCTACCAACTATGGAATTAAATTAAGCATCTTCTGAAACCGTTAATGGAATTCACCAAGGTTCTATATACTTCTATATCTTATCGAGTTTTTCACATCTGTATATTTGTTTACCTCTAAATCAAACTGAAATTATGGGCAAAGAGCTATCGGATGAATTTACAGAAAGTAGTACGTTATGTAGAATGATAACAAATGAGGGTGTAATTTTTCCCTTGCCCTTGCATGTTGCTCCATTATATACATTATTAATTGACAATCTCATGAAACGGAGTGAGAGTTCAGAAAATGTATTTGTATTAATTTGATATGCTTGTAAAATGAACTCATCCGTGATGATAAAATAACAAATACAAACTGTGAAATGCAAAACCCGGCCAGGCATGAAATTCCGAGACTCGTGAAAAGTTGCGGCAATAAGCAGCGTGGGGAATGAAATAAAGCTGTCAACAGAGGCATCATCACGGATGGAATAGAAACGGCGAGATCTTAATCTAATGCCCAAGGCAGTGCCCTGCACTGTGAACTGTGAAAGCCCAGCAGACTTAGCCAGACGTGAAGACAATACTGTTATTTTCTGAAATCTGAGGTCAAGGGATTTGTGAAACAATGGATTGTCTCATACCTTTAAAGGTGACCTTTGCTAAAATTCCTCCTTAAGAGCAAGAACACAGTGCCAGACGTCTTGATTTAGTCCCTATTAGACATATTGCTGAATTATGCAAAAATTGTTGTCAGGACAAATAACCTCATTTTGCCACCCACGGGCATTTGGTTTGTTTTGAAACCCTGGACAACAAGGACAAAGGGACACATTTATCATCACTGGAACTAGGCCAGCTTCTATTTGTCTGGCTGGCCATAAAAGCTTTCCCAAAGTCACCAGGTTGGGGAAAGACAGGGATGAGCTGTTTGACCCTGACACTTACAAAATGATTTACATTTTGGATGTCGTGATGGAAAAAAAGCTATTCAGTGGCTGCCATTGTGACATTACTCTCTCTCTCTCTCTCTCTCTTGGTCTAATTTAGACTGCTGCCCAACAACATCTGTCTAATTATACAGCAGTGATGAGAGACGGCAGCTCTTTACTTAAGCACAACAGTTTGGTGTGTTAGCAACTTTGACCTGCTGGTGGTGCCAGATAGAAAGCTAAGGGTTGACCAAAGTCAATAAGATTCATCCTGTGGGCACCATGAAAGTCTGCACAAAATTGCATTGCAATCCATCCAATGGAATGAAGTGGACCAACCGACCGACCGACCAACCAGCCGACTGACATCCCCAGAACGATGCCACTAGTACGCCTAAACTTAAAATAAAAAAACCTGGGAGGGTGTCTATAAACATTATGCAAGATTCTTTCCCTCAGTGTTATAGGAAGTCAGGCAGAGTGTGCAGCACAAATTAAAGGACTCATTAGTACACTTCCAACCTCTTAACTCGTTCTCAAGTGGAAGTGGACTAATGGGCAGGCTTTGCAAGGACTTGGCTGGAGCACAGTGCAAGCTCAACCGAAAACTGAAGCCCCATGGGAATTCCTCTATCACAGGACTCTCGCTCTCCTCCTCGCTTTCATTGCCAGACAATTTGGGTTGAGTTAATTCTGGGTCATCTCATTACGCCTCACACCAGAGGTGACAATGAAGTGATATGGGCTGCTCTGGAGGACTTTGACCTCATTGCTCATCAGTAATCTCACACCATGTGTTGGAGGTGTGAACTAATTATCCTTGGCACAGTGAACAATGTACAGAAAATTCGTTTTTCTGTGGTAAGCTCAACTGGACACGATAACAGATGATTCAGCAAAAATAGCATTCATCAGAGGCTTGATTATAATTTATTGCTACACGAGCAGAGTGGACGTTGAATAGTTATGAGAACAAGAAGAAAGGGCTGTCTAAAAACTCAACACCCCGAAGGTTATGAAAAAGAATAAACCAAATGAAATCAAAGGAAAACCTGTTTTTTTCATGTCAAGGAGAGGTGTCCAAGAGAGAACAAAGCCCACTGAGCTGTACATTATGTATGGTGCTGAGGGTTCATGGTGGCCACGTCACTCACGTTTTTGAAGCCACGGTAAAGGATCTGAAGTTCCTTGCGGGAGAAACGTGTCTGAGCTTCAAGCTGCTCCAGTCCCTCGGGGCGATGGCGAACTGTAGACAGTTCAAGCTCATCTTCAACGCTGTCTGGAGAGGAGGAGGAGGAAGGAGGTCAGATGTGAACAAATGCTGGTTAGTCTTGGCAAATTAGCATGTTTGAGTCTAGAATTTCAGATATCCCGTTACACTTGCAAATATCAGCTAAAGCTAAGCAAATCAACCTAGATATTTGCATTTTCTAAATCCAAAATGTCACATTTTGGCATGAAATGCTCACAAATTCTATATCACCTTCTTGACAACAAAGAACATCCATCGTGAGTCCAAGTGATTCCATTTTCTCCTTGTTATGTCAGGTCCTTTTATTTGCAAATGTTACTTCACAAAACCAAACAAAACTCGAAGTAGCCTTTTTTTTTCCTCTACGCCAAATTCGGCAGCAGAGATAATTAGTGTTTCCGAGGCCTCAGAACAAAGTCCTTGTGGCAGTGAGCCTCTTCATGAACCCTGGGAAACTTTTTAATGGGCCTGTAATGATGGCAGATGCGGTCTGGGCCCTGCCACCATCCTGCGCTGTCCTCGCAGCACAGCGTTTGACTTGTCTTGTTGGCCCCTCATATACTTCAAGTGTGACACAGTGTCTAAATGCCTTATTAGCTCAAAGGGCACTATTGTTGCCCACAGCCCAAAGGCCACGTCTTCTAACCGACCACAAGTAACCTGCTGCTATGGAGCTAATGCTTTGTATTCATAGGTGATGTTAACTGATATAGTATATGGAAAGAAAACAGCTGTTTGATCTCATTATACATACAAATTATTACATTTGATGAGGAGTATCGTTTGATGAAAATATTCTGCAAAATGCAATTGTGACAAAACTAATGTAGAATCAAGAACACAATAGGAAACAGGGTTTGGGGAAACAGTCTAATCTGTTTATAAATGCCACGTCAAATCACATTTTCAACATCCATCCTTTTTACTTATTCAACTGTAAAACCCAAATGTTCTGTGTGAATCAGAAAGCTTAAGCAGATATGTGTGCCTAAAGCCTATATTGAGTGTGCACCCCTCATACCAAGAAAAAAAACACAGGAAAAAAAGAAATCATCACAGGGGAGACAGAGAGCCTTGGAGGAGCCACTTGCTTTGATTATCGGAGGATGGCTTTTTGGCTGTGGAGCATGGAAATAGCCTCATGAGTCGAGCTCTCACCCCGCGCTTGTGGACAATCTGAGGGTAACCTGGGAAATACAGCATTAGGTTTTGCGGTTACCCAGGCAATTTACAGCCTCAGCTCATTTCTAGGAAACTGGACATGCAAGAAGCGAGGGTCTGTTGAAGTACACATGGACATAGGGCTGCCTCATAGGTGGTTCCTCAGGACAACGACATCTTGAACTCAAGAGGAGTTCCCTCTTGTTTTACCGTGTGTATCTACATGTGAAGCAGCAGCACAAGTTCAAGGCGGCCTAAATATGGCATCACCGCAAGTCACGAGCAACTAGTTCACTGGGTTACATTCCTAATTAACAAGTCTCTTAGAACAATGTAGGTCATTGGTGTAAAAGGAGGGCTCTGAATATGATATGGAGCCTGTGACCTCAAGTCTGGGTGTAAAATGACATCTCATCAGGCGTCTACTCTTTTCACACGTCGCCAAGCATGCTTCCTTGTCAAATTTTTCTCGCCTGTCCCTTTAAGCAGCTTGCTACATGATTAGTAAAATAAAGTGGTGCATCCAAGGTTTGAATTGATGAACACAATACACAACCTATTCTATTCTATGCAGGACCACTCTAAGTATGAAAGTCATTATGTAATAAGTTCACAGCCTAAAAGCCCATTTCCCCTTCCGAACTGGGCTATTCAGAACATTTAGTGCAAAGTTTAATGGCAGCGGTGGGCATTAGGACGGGCTTTCGAGTGCTTTAAACCATTTGTCAATCACAACAACACTTAATTCATTTCGATCACAGGTAAAAGTACTAGCAGAGGTAGAGCCAGTCAACCTAACGTCAAGATGGCGGGTGAGACTTGTAAGAGGCCTCCACTAACCTTTGCGAAAAAAGAACTTAGTGGTAATAATTACATCAAGGAAAATTACATTAGAAATCTGTAACCTGGTCTGGCAACATCATGGAAGTCCAGTGGAAAATTGGGTTTTGAGCAGAAGAATAGCTTAATGTAAAACTACTGGGCAAGAGAAAAGAACGATACCTGACAAAGGTTGGTGTGTGTGAGTGTGTGTGTGCGTGTAGGTCAGTCTACCTGTAGTAAGAGCATTGCAGTGAGTACATTGAGTTCACACAGATAATCAAGGCAAGTATCAAGGCTGTAAATATATTATATTCTTGATTTCCTAAAAATATCAACAAGTTGAAAATACTGCAAATACAGCTATATCAGTCTACAGCTTTGAGCAAAATGCTTACGTCAGCATGCTAACATGCTCACAATGACAATGTTTACGATCTTAATTTAGCATGCTGACGTTTGCTAATTAGCAAGTACAGGTGACGTTGATGGGAATGTCATTAGTTTTGCAGCTATTTGGTCATCAACCCAAGTGTTGTACCGAATACAAATTAAGGGATTACCAAAGTCTGAGTGTCTACACAACATTTCATGGCAATCCATCCAACAGTTGAGATGTATCAAGTCTAACCTCATGGTAGCCTCCAAGTCTAACGTGTCTAATAATTACATAACTTAAATTTGTGTTACTTATGCTGTTCTATCATCTTGAACAGATTCATATACACAATAGTGATATCTACTTTAATGATCAGTTAAATGACAATGAGCCTTTAGAAAACGCTCAGCTAAAATGGCTGAGTTTGGGGTAGCTTGAACAAACGTGACCTAAAGCAAGATTTCTAAATCTTTGCACACACCGTTTCACCAAGCAGGCAAGGAACCCTGAGAGAAAGGTTGTAAAATGGAAATGGAAATACCACATGGTCCGAGCCTTTTCTGTGCAGAGTTAAACACTGCACAGATACTGAGCAGATGGCTAAAAGCTCTTGGCTCAGATCTGGCACAATGTACACAATAACTAACATCATGGTGCACAACAAAGTTCTCATAAAAGACATTGTTGATTCTGGCAAAACAGTTCATATTGCCCTTTATAATGACGCAATAACTTTGAGATTTAGAGGATAAAGAGACGAAGTGAAGCTCCCATCTGTTCTTGTTACCTGCCTGGCACACAGCTTCCTTCCTGAGAGAGGAGACGTCCGAGTGCCTTCACTGAGGTTGAACTAGACAGATGTTGGTCTCGACGGCAAGCTTGCTCTATTTGGAAACATTACTGTACAACTCAGAGACATCTTTTTCTAACTTAGAGCTCAAGGGCATTGTGGTGGGCTTCAGTATATTCTTTAGGACCAGCACAATGACTGAGTTATGGGATGAAGTGCAAATATTATGACTAATAGAGCAAACGATCTGCGCTATCACTAATAGATTCGAAAGCATGATCGTTGGTGAAAAGCTGAACGAACACGAGAACGATAAACAACTCTCTCTAAAGTGGAATAAAGCAGAGTGTGAGTGACACAGCGCTTAATCAGACAGGAAAAGAGCATGCAGTGAAGGCTGTCTGATTAATGTTTGTCCTTTTAGTTTATTGACAAAATGGCTCTGATGCTTGAGTAGGTGTGTGATAATGGAGAGAGCGGCGCGTGCTGTGCTGTTGCCCTTACCCACAAAGGTTAAAGATTACCTTTTTGCTGTTAAAAAAAAAACAGAAATGGGTGTTGTCCTGAGGAATCAAGTACATCAAGCAATAAATAATGATTCTGCAGAGGCTAAACATTTAGCTGATTCAGTCATCACATGCGCACACAAAGTCATGCCATACTTTTGCCTTCCTTGAAAGAAAAAACCTGACCTCAGCAGCTTGTTCGGTGCCTTGCTGCTATAACGGCAGGTTGCAGCTGACTGTGCAACTCATCAGAAATGTAATTCATAGCCACCACTGAGTAACAAAGCTGCCTTGGCCATTTTAGCCTGCAGCAATACAAGATAATGAGATCGAATGCGTCTCAAGGGTTATAAACAAAGAAAAATGCCTCAGCAAAGTATAATTACCACGGGATATAGTGTAACTAGCTCTGAAGACCAAAGCTATGATATGGTCTAATGTGCAGTATCGTCTTCATCAATGAGCTGACAAAGTCGCAAAAATACCCTGGAAAATGAAAGCGACTATGTAAGCCATCGAAATGAGTCTGGACAGATCAGTCATAGTTCAACTACCACGCTCGTTCAAGATTTGTGAATCAAGAGTCATTCATCTCGATGGTAAAGTCGAGCTCGAGGGTAAAAACCTCCCTAGCCCCTTAATCAACCGGATCCATGAACCGAAAATAAGTGGCCAACAAACATTTGATAAATCGATATCATGTGCAAACTAAAACGTGTTCAGTTGACCGCGAAATGTTGCTCGACATCGATAAATCTCGGGTCTTGTGCTGAAGCACGCGGTTTGATGAACGGTGCTGCTGAACTTGCTGCTTCTTTGCTTTGGTATGAGGGTGTATCTACAGTAAGTGCTACGCAGAGGCAAATGATAGCCTGGAGGTCCACATAGGACGGAGGAATTTAACAAAGTAAGTGCAAAAGCCCCTTACGCGGTGTGAGATTAAAATTAAAACTATTAAATGGATCTGTGATGAGGGAACTCTAGATTTAATCTGTATGAAATTGGGCAAGATAATTCTAAATGTCAGACATAGCATTCATCAGTTGTATTTCCTCTTTTGCTTAGTTGTGAGAAGCCTTTTCCCCTCGGTGTGATGACTAAAATAGTGCAGCTCCATCTGTGCGTGTGTGACACTAGCACCGTACTCATTTCTCAAGAGCTCCGGCGTGTTTCTGTGTGTGTGTGTCTGAGACAAGGTCTTAACTTATACAATTTAGCACCAGCTCCTCGCTGTCCCTTTAGCGCCGCGGCACCAAGAAAGGCGGGGCTCCCCGAAAGTAGGCCATGACTCCCAGGGAGCACAACTTATCTTCTGACAGTTTAAATGATACTGTAGTGTACCAGGCAACAGCACCCAGCATGTGAGCCTGTA